GCAGCTGAATGGTTTTTCTCCAGTGTGGATTCTGTTGTGGACCTTGAGATATTCTTTTCTAGTAAAACATGTTCCACACAGATCACACTCATATGGTTTTCCTCCAGAGTGAGTTCTGTGGTGGGTCTTTAGATCAGAAGCAGAGCTGCAGGTCTTTCCACACTGATCACAGGAGAACACCATTCTGTAGATGGACTTTGTAGATCTGCAACAAACACAACAACGTCAGATAATTCTAATATGTTTGATGGTGGTAGAAGTGAGAAATGATATTGTTCTCTTTCAACATCAAACATCGGGTTCTGAAATTAAAGCTGGTTGCTCCCAACCCATGGGCTACACCCCCCACCCTGTATAGGAGCCACTTCTACAACCTCAGTCCTGGGTCTACAGCCTCAGTCCTGGGTCTACAGCCTCAGTCCTGGGTCTACAGCCTCAGTCCTGGGTCTGCAGCCTCAGTCCTGGGTCTACAGCCTCAGTCCTGAGTCTACAGCCTCAGTCCTGGGTCTACAGTCTCAGTCCTGGGTCTACAGCCTCAGTCCTGGGTCTACAGCCTCAGTCCTGGATCTACAGCCTCAGTCCTGGGTCTACAACCTCAGTCCTGGGTCTGCAGCCTCAGTCCTGGGTCTGCAGCCTCAGTCCTGGGTCTACAGCCTCAGTCCTGGGTCTACAGCCTCAGTCCTGGGTCTGCAGCCTCAGTCCTGGGTCTACAGCCACAGTCCTGAGTCTACAGCCTCAGTCCTGGGTCTACAGCCTCAGTCCTGGGTCTACAGCCTCAGTCCTGGGTCTACAGCCTCAGTCCTGGGTCTACAGCCTCAGTCCTGGGTCTGCAGCCTCAGTCCTGGGTCTGCAGCCTCAGTCCTGGGTCTACAGCCTCAGTCCTGGGTCTACAGCCTCAGTCCTGGGTCTACAGCCTCAGTCCTGGGTCTACAGCCTCAGTCCTGGGTCTACAGCCTCAGTCCTGGGTCTACAGCCTCAGTCCTGGGTCTACAGCCTCAGTCCTGGGTCTACAGCCTCAGTCCTGGGTCTACAGCCTCAGTCCTGGGTCTACAGCCTCAGTCCTGGGTCTACAGCCTCAGTCCTGGGTCTACAGCCTCAGTCCTGGGTCTACAGCCTCAGTCCTGGGTCTGCAGCCTCAGTCCTGGGTCTACAGCCTCAGTCCTGGTCTACAGCCTCAGTCCTGGGTCTACAGCCTCAGTCCTGGGTCTACAGCCTCAGTCCTGGGTCTACAGCCTCAGTCCTGGGTCTACAGCCTCAGTCCTGGGTCTACAGCCTCAGTCCTGGGTCTACAGCCTCAGTCCTGGGTCTACAGCTCAGTCCTGGGTCTACAGCCTCAGTCCTGGGTCTACAGCCTCAGTCCTGGGTCTACAGCCTCAGTCCTGGGTCTACAGCCTCAGTCCTGGGTCTACAGCCTCAGTCCTGGGTCTCAGCCTCAGTCGTCTCAGCCTCAGTCCTGGGTCTACAGCCTCAGTCCTGGGTCTACAGCCTCAGTCCTGGGTCTACAGCCTCAGTCCTGGGTCTACAGCCTCAGTCCTGGGTCTACAGCCTCAGTCCTGGGTCTACAGCCTCAGTCCTGGGTCTACAGCCTCAGTCCTGGGTCTACAGCCTCAGTCCTGGGTCTACAGCCTCAGTCCTGGGTCTACAGCCTCAGTCCTGGGTCTACAGCCTCAGTCCTGGTCTACAGTCTCAGTCCTGGGTCTACAGTCTCAGTCCTGGGTCTACAGCCTCAGTCCTGGGTCTACAGCCTCAATCCTGGGTCTGCAGCCTCAGTCCTGGGTCTACAGCCTCAGTCCTGGGTCTACAGCCTCAGTCCTGGGTCTACAGCCTCAGTCCTGGGTCTACAGCCTCGGTCCTGGGTCTACAGCCTCAGTCCTGGGTCTACAGCCTCAGTCCTGGGTCTACAGCCTCAGTCCTGGATCTACAGCCTCAGTCCTGGGTCTACAGCCTCAGTCCTGGGTCTACAGCCTCAGTCCTGGGTCTACAGCCTCAGTCCTGGTCTACAGTCTCAGTCCTGGGTCTACAGTCTCAGTCCTGGGTCTACAGCCACAGTCCTGGGTCTACAGTCTCAGTCCTGGGTCTACAGCCTCAGTCCTGGGTCTGCAGCCTCAGTCCTGGGTCTACAGCCTCAGTCCTGGTCTACAGTCTCAGTCCTGGGTCTACAGTCTCAGTCCTGGGTCTACAGCCTCAGTCCTGGGTCTACAGCCTCAGTCCTGGGTCTACAGCCTCAGTCCTGGGTCTACAGCCTCAGTCCTGGGTCTATATACTCATCAGTCCTGGGTCTACAGCCTCAGTCCTGGGTCTACAGCCTCAGTCCTGGGTCTACAGCCTCAGTCCTGGGTCTGCAGCCTCAGTCCTGGGTCTGTAGCCTCAGTCCTGGGTCTACAGCCTCAGTCCTGGGTCTACAGTCTCAGTCCTGGGTCTACAGCCTCAATCCTGGGTCTGTAGCCTCAGTCCTGGGTCTACAGTCTCAGTCCTGGGTCTGCAGCCTCAGTCCTGGGTCTGTAGCCTCAGTCCTGGGTCTACAGCCTCAGTCCTGGGTCTGCAGCCTCAGTCCTGGGTCTACAGCCTCAGTCCTGGGTCTACAGCCTCAGTCCTGGGTCTACAGTCTCAGTCCTGGGTCTACAGCCTCAATCCTGGGTCTGTAGCCTCAGTCCTGGGTCTACAGTCTCAGTCCTGGGTCTACAGCCTCAGTCCTGGGTCTACAGCCTCAGTCCTGGGTCTACAGCCTCAGTCCTGGTCTACAGTCTCAGTCCTGGGTCTACAGTCTCAGTCCTGGGTCTACAGCCTCAGTCCTGGGTCTACAGTCTCAGTCCTGGGTCTACAGCCTCAGTCCTGGGTCTGCAGCCTCAGTCCTGGGTCTACAGCCTCAGTCCTGGGTCTACAGCCTCAGTCCTGGGTCTACAGCCTCAGTCCTGGGTCTACAGCCTCAGTCCTGGGTCTACAGCCTCAGTCCTGGGTCTACAGCCTCAGTCCTGGGTCTACAGCCTCAGTCCTGGGTCTATATACTCATCAGTCCTGGGTCTACAGCCTCAGTCCTGGGTCTACAGCCTCAGTCCTGGGTCTACAGCCTCAGTCCTGGGTCTACAGCCTCAGTCCTGGGTCTACAGCCTCAGTCCTGGGTCTGCAGCCTCAGTCCTGGGTCTACAGCCTCAGTCCTGGGTCTACAGCCTCAGTCCTGGGTCTACAGCCTCAGTCCTGGGTCTACAGCCTCAGTCCTGGGTCTACAGCCTCAGTCCTGGGTCTACAGCCTCAGTCCTGGGTCTACAGCCTCAGTCCTGGGTCTATATACTCATCAGTCCTGGGTCTACAGCCTCAGTCCTGGGTCTACAGCCTCAGTCCTGGTCTACAGTCTCAGTCCTGGGTCTACAGTCTCAGTCCTGGGTCTACAGCCTCAGTCCTGGGTCTACAGCCTCAGTCCTGGGTCTATATACTTATCAGTCCTGGGTCTACAGCCTCAGTCCTGGGTCTACAGCCTCAGTCCTGGGTCTGCAGCCTCAGTCCTGGGTCTACAGCCTCAGTCCTGGGTCTACAGCCTCAGTCCTGGGTCTACAACCTCAGTCCTGGGTCTGTACTTTTCGGCAGCTGCGACTCATTTACTGCACGAACAGAAACAGAAAGTCGCGTCACACAAATAAAAAAGAGGTTTTGTGGTTTCAGTCGAGACGGTTTTAAAAACATGAGAAATACCAGAGACCAGGTTTAGACCAGAGACTGAGACTAGAGACCAGGTTTAGACCAGGTTTAGACCAGAGACTGAGACCAGAGACCAGGTTTAGTCCAGGTTTAGACCAGAGGCTGGGACCAGAGACCAGGGTTAGACCAGGTTTAGACCAGAGACTGAGACCAGATACCAGGTTTAGACCAGAGACTGAGACCAGAGACCAGGGTGAGACCAGAGACTGAGACCAGAGACTGAGACCAGAGACTGAGACCAGGATTGAGACCAGGACTGAGACCAGGACTGAGACCAGGACTGAGACCAGGACTGAGGCCAGGACTGAGATCAGGACTGAGACCAGGACTGAGATCAGGACTGAGACCAGGACTGAGACCAGGACCAGCTTTAGAGCACATAACAGGGGGATTAAAGGCCTCAGCGTGGATCAGGGACCAGAGCTTTATAACCAGTGAATATTATACTGAACAAAACAAGAGAGAGACCAGAGGAAGACCAGAGGAAGACCAGAGGAAGACCAGAGGGAGACCAGAGAGACCAGAGAGACCAGAGAGAGACCAGAGGAAGACCAGAGAGAGACCAGAGGAAGACCAGAGAGAGACCAGAGGAAGACCAGAGGGAGACCAGAGAGACCAGAGAGAGACCAGAGGAAGACCAGAGGAAGACTAGAGGAAGACCAGAGAGAGACCAGAGAGACCAGAGAGAGACCAGAGAGAGACCAGGGGAAGACCAGAGGGAGACCAGAGGAAGACCAGAGAGAGACCAGAGAGACCAGAGAGAGACCAGAGGAAGACCAGAGGAAGACTAGAGGAAGACCAGAGAGATTCCAGAGAGACTAGAGAGACCAGAGAGAGACCAGAGCGATCAGAGAGAGAGACCAGAGAGACCAGAGGAAGACCAGAGAGAGACCAGAGAGAGAGACCAGAGATAGACCAGAGAGAGACCAGAGAGAGAGACCAGAGAGAGAGACCAGAGAGATCAGAGAGAGATCAGAGAGACCAGAGAGAGAGACCAATACTGTAGGTGTTTACAGAATCTGGAACCGGTTTGGACCAGTTTGAACAAGTTTGAACCGGTTTGAACCAGTTTGAACCAGTTTGAACCGGTTTGAACCGGTTTGGACCAGTTTGAACCGGTTTGAACCGGTTTGGACCAGTTTGAACCAGTTTGAACCGGTTTGAACCGGTTTGGACCAGTTTTCCACCTGCCCAAGCACTTTCCTCGCTCCTCCGCACCACAGGGACGTCTCCTACACTGAGCACAGTGGTAAAGCTGAGAGCAACCAGCAGGCAAACAGCCACTTCCTGTTCCTCCAGTTCAAAGGTCAAACAGCTGCAGGACTCACAGGGCGCTCACAGCAGGTCACTCCTCGGCTCTGGCTCTGGTTCTGGTCCTGGTTCTGGTTTTCAAACTCCTTCAGCTGCAAAAGAAAAAACAGAAGAGAGCTCTTTAACTGCACTCACTCAGGGGTCAGGAGGCGGGGTTTAGGGGTCAAGGTCAGAGGTCAGGGTGTGGAGCTCAGGGGTCAGTACCCGGGCCAGCGCCTCCTCGATGGAGATCATATGGTCCTTCACCATCAGCATCAGGTGGATCCGCTCCTCGTCTCCCATGGTAACCTCCGACGCCACGAAGCCCACGTCTGGAACAAGGAACTAAAGCTGAAGACCTGTGTCGACAAGGCTAACCGGCTAGCTTAATGCTAACCGGCTAGCTTAATGCTAACCGGCTAGCTTAATGCTAACCTGTTCGCTCAATGCTAACTCACCAGGAATCTGTAGTCAGGGCTCTATGTCCCCTCCCTCACCCCTGCTCATGCCCTTTGGGATCTAAACCAGTCCCAGACCCAGACCTAAACCAGTCCCAGACCCAGACCTAAACCAGTCCCAGACCCAGACCTAAACCAGTCCCAGACCCAGACCTAAACCAGTCCCAGACCCAGACCTAAACCAGTCCCAGACCCAGACCTAAACCAGTCCCAGACCCAGACCTAAACCAGTCCCAGACCCAGACCTAAACCAGTCCCAGACCTAAACCAGTCCCAGACCCAGACCTAAACCAGTCCCAGACCCAGATCAAATCCAGTAACAGTTCCAGTCTCACCTGCGCTCGTGAGTCGCACATTTTCCTTTGGAGATCTTCTGAAACTGTGCCACAGAGATCTGCGTCTGACCTCAGGTCTGGCCTCAGGTCTGGCCTCAGGTCTGGCCTCAGGTCTGGCCTCAGGTCTGGCCTCAGTTTTACCTGAAGCAATGTGGGAGAAACAGATAAATGTGAAACAGTGTTAGGCCCAGAACTGAGCCCTGAGGAACCCCACACAAGCTTTAAAGCTGAGGAACGTAACTTTCAGACCACAATAACAGTTCATCACAGGTGTTTACTGGTCCTGGTCTAAAGTTACAGACCCCAGCTTTAAACACGTGACATCACTCACCTCGGGGGCCTCCCTCAGACTGGGACCTGGTTCCTTTGACCCTGTAACAGACAGACTCAGTCACAGCTAAACACCAGAACAAACCTGTTCTTCACCTGGTCCTAGGAGCTGCTCTCCACATGGTGCTGGGCTCTAACCAATGGGCTCTAAACCAACGGGCTCACAGCTGGTTTCACACGTCACATGACCACCACCGAACACTGTGCCACGCAAATAAACTACTGCAGACTGCACACAGAGCAGAGCGGGGTCTGAACAAAGAGAAACTCTGAGTCTGCAACTTCCCCAGAGAGGGAGGGAAGGGAGGAGGGGAGGGGAGGAGAGGAGAGGGAGGGGAGGGGTTAGGAGTGGAGGAGAGAGGGGAGGAGGGGAGGGGATGGGAGAGAGGAGGAGAGAGGATGGGGGAGGGGATGGGAGAGAGGAGGGGAGGGGGAGAGGCTCTAAGGCCCTGTTTATACAGACTTTGCATAAACGACTCTGCAAAGTGAAAGCGTGGACACAGCGCCTGAAGACGGTGCAGTTCCAGCGTCCGGCCAGTAGGGGGCAGTGGAACCAACATCATTCTGCATTTAACAGAAGCAGCAACAAACTGAAACTGCAGCCGTGGTTTGGACGAAGGAGTAGAACTCAGTAACACCTGAAGCACACAGTGATCCGCCACCATTTTGTTTACCTTTGTTCTACTGCACCTGTTTCTTCCATGGATTCATAATAACATCTGGATACAGTATAAGCTTATATCTGTCCCACCCATGCCATGGCCACAGGGGGCGCTGTGGTGCTGCAGACTAAACTCACGTTACCCAGAAAAATGTCCATAGAACTCAATGTGAACTAAAACAGACCTCAGCTGACAGAGAACCTGACAGAGAACCTACAGAGAACGTACAGAGAACCTGACAGAGAACCTGACAGAGAACCTGACAGAGAACCTACAGAGAACCTGACAGAGAACCTACAGAGAACCTGACAGAGAACCTACAGAGAACCTGACAGAGAACCTACAGAGAACCTGACAGAGAACCTGACAGAGAACCTGACAGAGAACCTACAGAGAACCTGACAGAGAACCTACAGAGAACCTGACAGAGAACCTACAGAGAACCTGACAGAGAACCTGACAGAGAACCTGACAAAGAACCTACAGAGAACCTGACAGAGAACCTGACAGAGAACCTACAGAGAACCTGACAGAGAACCTCACAGAGAACAGTTATTCTTCAGTTTTCCATAAGTCCACCAGTGAAACAGACTCTGCTCTGGGGTGCCCTGCCCCTGGTCCTGCCCCTGGTCCTGGTATTACTCTTTGGCTTATTCCTGAAATATTAGAATTGTTTGTTTTTTGGCCCAGATTTGTTTTTGGCCCTGTCTAGTCCTGCTCAGTCTAGCCCTGCCCAGTCTAGCCCTGCCCACTCTAGCCCTGCCCAGGCCAGTCCATCTCTGCCCAACTCAGTCCAGCCCAGCCCTGCCCAGCCCAGTCCTGCCCAGTCTAGCCCTGCCCAGCCCAGTCCATCCCAGTCCAGCCCTGCCCAGCCCAGTCCATCCCAGTCCAGCCCTGCCCAGCCATGTCCAGCCCAGTCCATCCCAGCCCGGTCCAGCCCAGTCCAGCCTAGTCCAGCCCTTCCCAGTCCAGTCCAGCCCAGCCCTGCCCATCCCAGTCCGGTCCAGCCCAGCCCACTCCTGCCCAGTCCAGCCTAGTTCAGCCCTTCCCAGCCCAGTCCAGTCCAGCCCAGCCCTGCCCATCCCAGTCCAGTCCAGCCCAGCCCAGTCCTGCCCAGTCCAGCCCTTCCCAGTCCAGTCCAGTCCTGCCCAATCCAGCCCAGTTCTGCCCAGTCCAGCCCTTCCCAGCCCAGTCCAGCCCAGCCCAGTCCTGCCCAGCCCAGCCCAGCCCAGCCCAGCCCAGTTACCTTTTGTACATTTTGTAATAAACCTTATTAGTCATTACGACACCAAATATGGGCGAGTTTTGCGGATCTCCCGGGGCCCATGTAGGTCAGGGGGCTTGGATTCTTGTGTATTTCATTTCCGCATTCAGAACTACAGATATGCAACTGGACTACAAAGATGGCCGTCCAGATCTGCAGAGCTCTGATTGGACAGAACCGCTCCCACTGGTTTAAACCATAGACTGTATATATTAACGGACAGAGTCACGCCTATCTCCGCCGTTCTAACTAATGGGCCAAACATTGTGCTCTACTGGAGCAATCCAAAATGGCCGCGAGTGGTCCCGCCCACAAGAAAATTGTGAAAAAACACATCTGCGCATGCGTCAGTCGGTGCAGCTCCATTCATTTGAACGAGAGACTTCTAAAGTCCACAGCGACTAAACTAGACTGGTCCAAAAAAATCCACCCCCCTCAGCATTGACACACATGTGGAACGGAGCTTTGGGCCAAGAGACAACTTTTGGTCCATCCTGTAAAGACGTTTTCGAGAGGCCTGCCAATGCTATATGTTAGCATTGGCTAATTCTTATTCCGGGTCCACCCCTACAGGCCCAGGGTGGTATTGCAGCATGTCAGCGCACGTCATTTTGGCCACTTTTGAGCCGGGACCCGCCCCCACTGGTTTAAACATACAGAATGAAACACACTCACCTCCTCTGCACCTCCGGGGTCGAGGAGTTACTATGGAGACCCAGAGACTCCTGTGAAGGGGGGGAGAGGGGGAGGCAGGAGAGAGGGGGAGATGTGAGAGAGAGGGGAGATGATAGAGGGAAGAGAGGGTAGGGTGGGAGAGAGGGGGGGGGGGGGGGAGAGAGGGGAGAGAGAGGGGAGAGGAGAAAGGGTAGAGACGGGGGAGAAGAGAGAGGGAAGAGAGAGAGGGGAGAGAAGAACATTTGAGAATCATGTTTGAATTTGTCACAAGGAGAAAATGCAAACTGTTCTTTAATAAAAAATTTTTTATAAAGAATCAAACAGAAAAATGAACCTGGATCTGAGAGCGAAGCAGCAGCGAGGACGAAAGAGACTCCACTTTGACCTGAAACACACACACAGGGTTAAAGACACACAAACATAGGTGCCCATAACACACACACACAGACTTCACACAGACACCCACACAGGACTCACATAGGTCCTCATAACACAGGTTCACAAAACACACACACGCACACACACACACACACACACACACACACTCACCATCTCAGAGTGCTGCAGAACTTTGCGTCTGCGGAGTTCCTCCATCCTCTCGCTCACGTCGCTCACACACGTTCCATAGTAACACGAATAAAGCTGAGCGAGAGTCCGCAGGGAGCCGGGAGAGCCGTCCTACACACACACACACACACACACAGCGAGAGAGAGATTTGAGCTGAGTGAGAGTCTGCAGAGAGCTGTCCTACACACACACACATACAGTAAATGTTTTTTTTATTTATATAAACACGTAGACCTCACATAGGTCCCCATAACATACAGATCCCCATTACACACAGACAAACACAGGTCCCCATAACAAACAAACCTCACAGAGGTCCCCATTACACACAGACACACACAGGTCCCCATAACAAACACACCTCACACAGGTCCCCATAACACACATAGGTCCCATTACACACAGACACACACACACACACAGGTCCTCATAACACAAAGGCCTCTCTCACTCAAACACACAGACCTCACACAGGTACCCATAACACAGACGATACACAGACAGATACACATACAGACCTCGCACAGGACCCCATTACACACAGACCTCAGACAGACACACACACACAAAGACCTCACACAGACACACACAGACCTCGCACAGGTCCCCATCACACACAGACACGCACACACACACACACACATAGACGTCAGAACTAGGGGTGCGGGGGGTGCGGCCGCACCCCCTCCCTTCCGACCTTGTATACGGTCAGACGCCATGAGCCCCACAGAAAATAATAATAAAACATACATTTTAACTCAATGTGTTTCGTCTGTCTTGCATTTAGATGTATCTTGTTTCTGTGATGGCTTCATACAACTCAATGTGACGTAGGTTAAATTTATAATCAAAAAAATTATAAATAAATAAAATATATATTGTTTCGCAGGCATTGTTGTTGTTTGTTCCCGCGCATCAGCTATTGTTAGCCTTCGTCACATAGACTGTCATAGCAAGATCAACCGATTCAGTTATGGCTCAGACAAGAATTTCTTCATACTTTTTGAAAGCGGCCGACCCAGCGAAGCATCCAAGAGCGACACCTGGAGCTCAGAGTGTGCCAATGAGTGTGCCGGCAACCGGACAGCAGCTGGCAGCAGCGGAGGATCCTCGTCCTCCCTCCCCAGTGCGACCCGGTGCTAGCCAAGAGGCTATATCTTTTAAACCACCCCAAGGGTATAATTTTCCTGTCAAAAAGTTCAGCGGTGAGAACTTCAGTCGTTCTTGCAAGGCCGCTTGGTTCAGGGAATGGCAGTGGCTGGAGTACATTGCGGCCAGTGATGGCATTGTGTGTGGTGTGTGCAGGTCAGCTGTCAAAGGCAAGTTGATTGTGTCAGAATCCAAAAGTCAGTTTTTGAATGATAACGGCTTTTCAAATTGGAGAAAAGCAACGGAAAAGATCAGAGACCATGAAAAGACCCGCATTCATTTAGATGCAACCCAAAGATTGGCTGCATTGAAAAGCGCGCCAATAAATGCGCTACTCTCCGAGGCCGCTGCTAAGGACCAGAGAACAGCGCGGAAAATGCTGGAGCTCATTTTCAGCAGTGTAAGATTCCTGGGGCGCCAGGGACTGCCTCTGAGAGGAGCTGCCAATCGGGATGGGGTGTTATGGCAGCTAATGATGAAAGGGTGCGCACTGATCCTGATATGGAGAAGTGGATGCAAAGGAGAGACAACTGGCTGTCCGGCAGCATCCAAAACAAAATTCTGGAGCTCTTTACTTACTTACTTACTTTATTTATTTGATCAGGGACAATGCACAAACAGCATTAGTCTAAAAAAGAAGAGATGTCATGTGCCAGGTTATAGCAAAAATGCTAATTTCCACCCGCAGTCCCTGGACAGGTTGATGTTATACTTAAAAGAATTCATAAAATATATACAGAATAATACATAAACGCTTACATCATAAAAGCACTTTCTATCATTCACTCTCGCTCACAGTTTACAGCGTTCACAGTCATTCAGTGCGTACAGGTTTGCTTTGATAATAACCACTGTTTGGTTAGGCGTGTAAATGTGCTATAATTTGTGCATGAAATAATTTCATTTGGAAGAGTGTTCCAAAGGCTCGCTGCTTTATAAGAGAATGATTGTTGACCATATGCAGTTTTGCGTCTTGGAACGCTGCACTCTCCTCTGACTGTTGACCGTGTGGTTCTAGAGATTATCTCCGAATTGAGAGTAAAAAAAATTCTCAGAGGGGGAGCAGTGATGTTATAGATTATTTTAAACAGAGCAGAAATTTGATTATATTTAATAAGGTTTTCGAAACTCAGAAAGTTATATTTACTTTGTACTTTACAGTGATGATACTTACAAGGCTTTTTATCATGAATTTTTATGGCCCTTTTATATAATGATTCAAGTGATTTTAACGATGTTTTACACGCCTGAGACCAACTAGACATGCAATACAGAAAATGTGGAACAATCATAGTGTTGAGGTAAGTATTTGAGGCCTCTGTAGTTAATGAGTTTCTAATATGTTCAAAGTTCATCAAGTTAAATTTCAGTGTGTTACCAAGTCTTTTTATGTGACTTTTAAAACCAAGATTTGAATCAAGTATTAGACCTAAATATTTTGTTTCTGTAACCCTGTTAGTTTTGGCCCATTCTATCCTGTAATGCCATAAACACTTGTTATAAAATTAGATGTAGTTCCGGAGTTCACCAGTAGGGCGCAGCACACCGAAGCACTGTGACGCGCTTCTAGATCTTTCTTTGGCATCCATCTTGTTAAGCTGTGCACTTCGTCTTGAGACTAAACAAGAGGTAAACTTGGATAAAAGTTATCTTCATGCTTTAAATTATTTTTGAACCTAACTCAGACATGTATGAATATATTCTGCAGGACCTGTGAATGTTTGAACCAGTTGGAACTTACATGAAAAAAACGTTTTGAACCTTGAATATCCTGGTGAGTCCAGACCGCGGTTTCCGTTATGTTAGCATATTGTGTTGCTAATAGAATCTCTAGTCAAGGCATTTGTAAACCTTGTTGATGAAAAAAACCAGTCGGGATAATGTTGAATTGTTAAAAATAACTGCTGGAAGTGTGGATATACTGTATTAGTATTTGTGTAATGTATTCAATGTGAGAAGCCATTGAACAATGACAGTGACCTACCTGACTACACTTTATTATAATTACACATATGTGCATTTATGATTCACAATATTTGATGTGGTTTATCTTACTGTAATTTAGAGTTTTGCAAATTATTTGAATAGTTAATCCCATATTCAAGAGAAATACTTTTATTTGTGAAACAAATGTACAAGTTTGTTTTAATATTATTCTAGTTGTATGGAGGAATTACATTCTGTTGAGAAATGGACAATAGTATGAATGAGAACACAAAGACTGTATAGTAGTTAATTTTCTGCACGTTTTGCAGACTGGTTTTTTGATAGACCACACAACTGGACCCGATTCCTGTTCCTGCTGGGCCTGTATGCTCTTCTTCGTTCACTCTGGTGCCTGGTCCCTTGGTCCACCTCCTTGTCTAACAGCGCTGCAACGATTGCCTTGAGTAGCAACTCACAGGGACACTGATCGAGTATTAAAGGGGCGGTAGGACATTTATTTGAGTGCACTCGGTGTTTGTTTTGTCTGGTACCAGACGGGATTTATTTTTGTACTTTTATTTAGTTTCTGAGATCTCAGAGGTAACATTGTGGCCGATTTGTACATTAATTTGTTCTGAAGTATCAAATGAACCAGTATAATCAAAAATACTAATTTGAGTTAACCTCAAACCCTGTTGTTGTGTGCTTCATTGGGGTGGAATCTACCAGTTACTTAACTATTGCTCTAACTATAACCAGCCTCCTTTCCGAATCTAGATTTAGATAAACTTACCATTGAACCATAGACTGTTAATTAGCAGAACGATCAGCGTAGGGTTACATATATGGCGAGCCAGCCAGGAGGTTGGTACAGGATAAAAAAAGTAGAATCCACTCCATGTTAAAGGGCACTTTACAGAGAGCTAAAATTAAAACATTTCATTTAGAGACTTTGTTACAAACTGTCATATTAACGCAGTAATTATATTCAAAAAAAAAAAAAAAAAAAAAAAACACATTCAAAGCAAAATGGATCTTTGTAACCAGTTTGATGTGCATGGCCCTAGTTGTCTATATGTCACAGGCATAAGTGAAGCCCACACAGATGGTGACATCCATGATTTCTTTAAAGACAATGGGGAAATTAAGAAAATTGTCAGAATTCCAGAGGATCCAGAGCAACCACAAGGTCGTGTACTCATTGAATACTCCTCTGATCGATCAATAACCAGACTTGACCCAGCACAGCTTGGAGACCTCCCCAGTCCAAGTAATCCAACTGTTACCTGGTGTGTTAGGACCATTCGTGAATTATGTCAAGAAGAACTCGGACGAGAATTGGCTCAAAAATGTTTGGCTGAACTGGGCTCTCTAACTGGGATCAGTAGAGCTGGGTTTTGGGATGCCCTTCAGAGTGAACTGCAAAGTCAATCAGACATTGCCCCTCCCCAGAGCCCAGACACGCAGCAGCAGCCTTTTGGACAGTCTGTTACTACCTCCACCAGTGATAGCGCTAATGATAATGGGCAGAAAAGCGATGCTACAGTAAACGGCCCAGATCCGGTCACTCAGAGCATCCCATTCAATGCTGCTCCAAGTTTTCCTGTTATTGATAGTAGTACATTAAACCCACCCCATGTCCAAAAGGTTATAGTAGAACATTTCATTCGCAGTGATTCCACACCATCCAGCTACAGCCAAAGTAGGCTTCGTACCTTCTCTGGGCGGCTGCCAAAACCGAATGGAGAGGTTGATTATGATGCCTGGCATACACAAGTAGACTTGCTTCTCCATGACATGTCCCTCTCTGATTCACAAAAAGTAAGGAGAATACTGGAAAGTCTGCTCAGTCCCGCTGCAGATATTGTCAAGCCTCTCGGGACAAGTGCGACCCCTAAAGCTTACCTTATTCAGCTCGACTCAGCTTTTGGAGTAGTAGAGGATGGAGAGGAGCTCTTTGCGACCTTCCTAGGCTCTAACCAAAACTCAGGTGAGAAACCATCTGTCTACCTGAACCGTCTACAAACCCTCATCACAAAGGCCATATCTAGAGGGGGAGTATCAGCAGCTGAGTCTGACAAATACTTACTCCGGCAGTTCTGTAGAGGGTGTTGGGACCAAAGTCTCATAATTGGTCTCCAACTCGAGCATAGGAAAAGTAACCCCCCAACTTTCCCAGAGCTACTTTTGCTTTTGAGGACAGAAGAGGACAAGAGAGCAGCAAAAATGGATCGCATGAAAAAGCACCTTGGAAGCACAAGAGCTGCTGCACACGTTCAGTCAGTTATGAGCATGCCGGTATTCGAACATGAGCCTTCCCCTGAAACGACAACAAAACACGATACAAATTCAAAACTTGAAAAAGAAGTTGCAGAGTTGAAAGCACAAGTTGCAAGGCTATTACAGCAAGGGACAAAAGAGCAACGTCGTGATGAACTACAGAGCCGCCCAATACAGAGCGAGTTGCCTGTTCAAAGTGAAAGTTTACTTGCCCAAGCATCAAACAGAGACGCAAATCACCAGCCACCCAGACCACCTAAGGCTTGGTTTTGTTTTAAATGTGGAGTTGATGGGCACATTGCAGCAAAATGTACGTTTGAACCGAACCCAGAACTTGTTCGTAAAAAGAATGCTGATCTCAAAGAAAAACGAAATGCATTTTGGGCTCGACAATCGACCAATCAGGCATCTTTAAACTTCTAGTGGCTCCTGCCATGGGACGATCAGGAGCTGCAGGAAATAAAGATACAAGTCCCATAGCAATGATACACAGTTACAATGAGTCACAAACTGAAAGCAATTCTAAGCTTCCTCCTGGACTAGTGGGCCCCCGTTGCACCTCAACCATATGTATTGAAGATATAAAATGTGAATCTATTCTTGATACGGGGTCCCAAGTAACGACCATTTCAGAAGCCTTCCATTCCAGACACCTGTCAAGCATACCTGTTAAGTCAATACACAATCTGCTGGAGGTCGAGGGAGCTGGAGGTCAAGCTGTACCTTACCTTGGGTATGTAGAGGTTAATTTAACATTCCCGGGTGGTGTAACTGGAACAGTGGAGCAATTGTCCGTTCTAGCGCTCATTGTCCCTGAGTATGAGTTTAATGCCCGGATCCCTATCTTGATTGGCACTAACGTTTTACTTGAACTATACCAAAGAGGGGTCCGCTATGATAAGTCCCAGTTTCTCAAGAGATCTGACAGTTTTGCAGTACTGCTCCAGCATGTGGCACGGGTACACAAAACTGAGACAAAAGCTTGTCCTGTAAAGCTACATGGAGAAAAGGCCATTACAATTCCGGCAAGGCACAAAGTCTGTCTTTTTGGTGATGTTAGAGTGGGAAAAGCCAATCCCAATACAAACTTCATAATTGAACCCCTTGAGTCTTCATCCTTACCAGGTGGGCTTTTCCTCCAGTGTGCGCTGGTTAACATAAATACTAGAGCTTTTAACAAGATCCCAGTAGTCCTGAGTAACATCACAGATCACATTGTCACTCTGCCTCCAAAATGTCTTATTGGTGAACTGTCTGCTGTCCAGAGAGTAATGCCTCTGACCCCCACTGCTCAAACTGACTCGCAGGCATCAATGCCCAAACATTCATTCAATCTACAAGACTCCCCAATGTCCGAGGAGTGGAGGAGCCGTATCAGAGAAAAATTGAACTCTATCCCCGAAGTATTTGCGCTGGATGAGCTGTCCTTTGGTCACACCACAGCTGTGAAACACCACATCCGCTTGCAGGATGACACACCTTTCAAGGAAAGATCTCGCCCAATACATCCTGCTGATCGAGAGGCTGTCAGAGAACACCTCAGAGAACTCTTGAGCGCAGGAATAATAAGAGAATCCGAGAGTCCCTTCGCTTCCCCAGTGGTTGTAGTTAAAAAGAAAAACGGAAAAATCAGGCTTTGCATTGACTACAGGAAGCTTAACAGCCGCACTATTAAAGACGCCTACGCCCTCCCTAACATCGAGGAGACGTTTTCAGCCCTGCATGGAGCAAGGTGGTTCTCAGTGATGGACCTGAAATCTGGCTATTACCAGGTGGAAATGGCTGACCAAGATAAGGCCAAGACTGCCTTCACTTGCCCCCTCGGTTTTTACGAATTCAATCGTATGCCGCAAGGAGTCACCAATGCACCTTCCACCTTCCAACGCCTAATGGAAAAATGCGTTGGTGACCTTCACCTGAGTGAGGTTTTGGTATTCCTGGACGATGTTATAGTCTTCTCTCGGACACTTGAAGAGCATGAGACCAGACTCATGAAGGTGCTCAACCGCATCAAAAGCTTTGGCTTAAAGTTATCCCCGGAGAAGTGCCAGTTCTTCAAACCCTCCGTGAAATACCTTGGCCATATTGTAGATGCCCAAGGAGTCCACACTGACCCAGAGAAGGTGTCGGCTTTAAAAGATTGGCCCTGCCCAACCAACCGTGAAGAGTTGAAACGTTTCCTTGGATTTGCGGGGTATTACAGAAGATTTGTCGAGGGCTATTCAAAAATAGCCAGGCCACTTAACACCCTTACCGCTGGATACTACCCTCCCAAAAGGAGGGGTAAAGTCTACAAATCACTAAGGCCCAACCCTGGTATAAGCCCCAAAAGACCGTTTGGCGTGGAATGGACACCCGAATGTGATTCTTCTTTCAGAACACTGGTTGAGAGACTAACCTCCGCTCCTATCTTGGCTTTTGCGAACCCCGAAATCCCATATGTGCTGCATACAGATGCTTGCTGCGAAGGATTGGGAGCAGCTCTTTATCAGGAGCAGAACGGGAAATTAAGGGTAGTAGCTTATGCTAGCCGAGGCCTATCCAAAAGTGAGAAAAATTACCCAACTCACAAGCTCGAGTTTCTGGCTTTAAAGTGGGCAGTTTGTGAAAAGTTTTGTGATTACCTATATGGCACAGACTTTACTGTGTTAACTGATAATAATCCACTTACATATGTCCTTTCATCAGCAAAACTCGACGCAGCAGGACACCGCTGGCTCGCGGCACTCTCCACCTTCCAGTTTAACATAAAGTACAGAGCTGGGCATGCAAACGCCGACGCAGACGGCTTGTCACGGAGACCCCAAGCTGCTCCTCAAGAAGATCATGACTACTTGGAGGAAATGGAACGAATCAGAACAATGGCAAAACGTATTCTAGAGAGCAGCGCCCATGGTGAACATTAGGACAACCTATCCCTTAGAACTCGTTTGTATGGACTACTTGTCCTTAGAGCCTGATAATCGTGACACGCGAAACATATTGGTCATTACCGACCATTTCACTCGGTTTGCAGTAGCTGTGCCAACCAAAGACCAGAAGGCCAGAACCGTAGCCAAGGCTCTCTGGGAAGATTTCCTGGTCCACTATGGGTTCCCTAGTCGCCTTCATAGTGACCAGGGACGCGATTTTGAATCCCACACAATCAAGGAGCTATGCTCACTGATAGGATCAGAGAAAGTGCGTACCACCCCTTACCATCCCCAGGGGAACCCTGTGGAACGTTTTAACAGGACCCTAATCAATATGCTTGGGACTCTAGAGGAAAAAGATAAGCACCACTGGCGCGATTTTGTGAAGCCAGTTGTACATGCGTACAATTGTACGAGGAATGACTCTACTGGTTATTCACCATATGAGTTGATGTTTGGCAGACAGCCAACCCTCCCAGTTGATCTCATCCTTGGACTGAAACCCCCTACTGAGAGCCATACCACACATTCAGACTATGTTCAGAGTTTGCGTCAGCGACTCAAGGAAAGCTATGCACTCGCGATTGAAAACTCCAGAAAGTCTGGCGAACGAAATAAATTGAGATTTGATGCCAAAGTGAAAACAGCTGAGCTGACCGAAGGAGATCGTGTATTGGTGAGAAATGTCAATATCAGAGGAAAACATAAGCTAGCCGATAAATGGGAAAGAACAATTCACATCGTTGTAAAACGAATTGATGGTGGCCCAGTGTATGTAGTGAAACCTGAGTCAGGAAATGGCCCTCAGCGTACACTTCATAGAGACTTACTCCTACCGTGTGGATTCTTGCCAGTCGAGACTGCTCCTGAGCCGGAATCGCACCACAGTAAACGACACAGAATGCACTTGAGAAACCAACAAATTGAGAGTCAGGACATGGCATGTGATCATTCAGATGAGGAGGGAGAGTGTGATGGTTACTGCGTAACAGAACCACTATCATTTGCAACGTGGGGACCTTATGTGCAGGAATTTGAGAATACTCTCACAAATGACCCTCAGTCTTTTCCGAACCACACTACTTCCGAGTTCCAACCAGCAATAAAACCAGTCACGATAATGCAGTTATGCCACTTGAGTCAAATGACCCAATCAGGTCTGAGCACCATTCCCCAGAAAATGAGCATGTGATTATCGAGATTTCAGAAAGTTCAGGGAACACTACACCAAATCCTAACTTCCAGAGTGCTGATCCCCGTCATATAACATTAGAGTCAAATGCTGAAGATGTTCCAAGGGAGCTCAGACGTTCCAATCGAGACAGGCATCCTCCACCAAAATTCACTTATGAGGAATTAGGGAAACCTCTAATCCTTGCCATAACTACATTTTTTGGGAAACTCCAAGAAACTATCCCTGATCATCAGATATTCTATAGGGTCTGAAGACGCATGCTGAGACTCACGCGATTTAGAGGGGGAGGATGTAACCCTGTTAGTTTTGGCCCATTCTATCCTGTAATGCCATAAACACTTGTTATAAAATTAGATGTAGTTCCGGAGTTCACCAGTAGGGCGCAGCACACCGAAGCACTGTGACGCGCTTCTAGATCTTTCTTTGGCATCCATCTTGTTAAGCTGTGCACTTCGTCTTGAGACTAAACAAGAGGTAAACTTGGATAAAAGTTATCTTCATGCTTTAAATTATTTTTGAACCTAACTCAGACATGTATGAATATATTCTGCAGGACCTGTGAATGTTTGAACCAGTTGGAACTTACATGAAAAAAACGTTTTGAACCTTGAATATCCTGGTGAGTCCAGACCGCGGTTTCCGTTATGTTAGCATATTGTGTTGCTAATAGAATCTCTAGTCAAGGCATTTGTAAACCTTGTTGATGAAAAAAACCAGTCGGGATAATGTTGAATTGTTAAAAATAACTGCTGGAAGTGTGGATATACTGTATTAGTATTTGTGTAATGTATTCAATGTGAGAAGCCATTGAACAATGACAGTGACCTACCTGACTACACTTTATTATAATTACACATATGTGCATTTATGATTCACAATATTTGATGTGGTTTATCTTACTGTAATTTAGAGTTTTGCAAATTATTTGAATAGTTAATCCCATATTCAAGAGAAATACTTTTATTTGTGAAACAAATGTACAAGTTTGTTTTAATATTATTCTAGTTGTATGGAGGAATTACATTCTGTTGAGAAATGGACAATAGTATGAATGAGAACACGAAGACTGTATAGTAGTTAATTTTAGAGAGAGAGACCAGAGAGAGAGACCAGAGAGAGACCAGAGAGAGAGACCAGACGTTTTGCAGACTGGTTTTTTGATAGACCCAGAGAGAGAGAGACCAGAGAGAGACCAGAGAGAGACCAGAGAGAGAAACCAGAGAGAAACCAGAGAGAGACCAGAGAGAGACCAGAGAGAGAGACCTAATGTGAGCAGGAGAACGTGTCCTGTGGATTTAGGGTTTTCTGTCAGTCAGGAGGAGGCCGGGTCCTGGACCACACATTGTCCCGGACTGCCCATGGTCCTGGACTGCCCCTGATCCCTGACTACACCTGGTCCTGGTGCTGGTCCAGGTGCTGGTACCTTCTCTGCAGACGGCTGGTGATGGACTGAGAACAGTCCCCCGATGATGATGTCACCGTCCATACGTGCCACGAGGCGGGAGGCGGAGGAGGGCACCAGGGGAGGTTTAGAGAGGAGGGAGGAGGAGAGCGGGAGGAGGAGGAGGGGGAAGAGGAGGAGGGGAGGAGGAGGAGGAGGAAGAGTCATGGTGAGAGCGGAGGAGTCTTCTTTAAAGGTCCCATCCTGGAAACCTGTGGAGACGGGTCACAGTAAAGACGTTAAAGATCGACTCGTCTCTCGGGTGTAACATATTGTAGTGTGGGGTAAGAGTCGGGGGTGAGAGAGTCAGGGGTGAGAAAGTCAGGGGTGAGAGAGTCGGGGGTGAGAGAGTCAGGGGTGAGAGTCAGGGGTGAGAGTCAAGGGTGAGAGAGTCAGGGTCAGGGGTGAGAGAGTCGGGGTGAGAGAGTCAGGGGTGAGAGAGTCAGGGGTGAGAGTCAGGGTGAGAGTCAGGGGTGAGAGTCAGGGGTGAGAGTCAGGGGTGAGAGAGTCAGGGGGAGAGAGTCAGGGGTGAGAGAGTCAGGGGTGAGAGAGTCAGGGGTGAGAGAGTCAGGGGTGGAGAGTCAGGGGTGAGAGTCAGGGTGAGAGAGTCAAGGGTGAGAGTCAGGGTGGAGTCAGGGTGAGAGAGTCAGGGGTGAGAGAGTCGGGTGAGAGAGTCAGGGGTGAGAGAGTCAGGGGTGAGAGTCAAGGGTGAGAGTCAGGGGTGAGAGTCAGGGTGAGAGAGTCAGGGGAGTCAGGGTGAGAGTCAGGGGTGAGAGTCAGTCAGGGTCTGAGTGGGTGAGAGAGTCAGGGGAGAGAGTCAGGGGTGAGAGTCAGGGGTGAGAGAGTCAGGGGTGAGAGTCAGGGGTGAGAGTCAGGGTGAGAGTCAGGGGTGAGAGTCGGGTGTGAGAGTCAGAGAGTCAGGGGGTGAGAGAGTCAGGGGTGAGAGAGTCAGGGGGTGAGAGTCAGGGTGAGAGAGTCAGGGTAGAGAGTCAGGGGTGAGAGTCAGGGGTGAGAGAGGTCAGGGGCAGGTGAGAGTCAGGGGTGAGAAGTCAGGGGTGAGAGTCAGGGTGAGGGTCAAGGGTGAGAGAGTCAGGGGTGAGAGAGTCAGGGGTGAGAGAGTCAGGGGTGAGAGAGTCAGGGGTGAGAGTCAGGGGTGAGAGTCAGGGGTGAGAGTCAAGGGTGAGAGAGTCAGGGGTGAGAGAGTCAGGGGTGAGAGTCAGGGGTGAGAGTCAGGGGTGAGAGTCAAGGGTGAGAGAGTCAGGGGTGAGAGTCAGGGGTGAGAGTCAGGGGTGAGAGTCAGGGTGAGAGAGTCAGGGGTGAGAGAGTCAGGGGTGAGAGAGTCGGGGTGAGAGAGTCAGGGGTGAGAGTCAGGGGTGAGAGTCAGGGGTGAGAGAGTCAGGGGTGAGAGAGTCAGGGGTGAGAGTCAGGGGTGAGAGTCAGGGGTGAGAGTCAGGGGTGAGAGTCAAGGGTGAGAGAGTCAGGGGTGAGAGAGTCAGTGGTGAGAGTCAGGGGTGAGAGAGTCGGGGGTGGGAGAGTCTGGGGTGAGAGAGTCAGGGGTGAGAGAGTCAGGGGTGAGAGAGTCAGGGGTGAGAGAGTCAGGGGCGAGAGAGTCGGGGTAAGAGAGTCAGGGGTGAGAGAGTCAGGGGTGAGAGAGTCAGGGGCGAGAGAGTCGGGGTGAGAGAGTCAGGGGTGAAAGAGTCAGGGGTGAGAGAGTCAGGGGCAAGAGAGTCGGGGTAAGAGAGTCAGGGGTGAGAGAGTCAGGGGTGAGAGAGTCAGGGGCGAGAGAGTCGGGGTAAGAGAGTCAGGGGTGAGAGAGTCAGGGGTGAGAGAGTCAGGGGCGAGAGTCGGGGTGAGAGAGTCAGGGGTGAGAGTCAGGGGTGAGAGAGTCAAGGGTGAGAGAGTCAGGGGTGAGAGTCAGGGGTGAGAGTCAGGGGTGAGAGAGTCGGGGTGAGAGAGTCAGGGGTGAGAGAGTCGGCCCTGCTTCCTCAGAAGACACTCGGGCTTTAAGCCTAGTGTATACTTGCGCGGCGCAGCTAACGTTAGCGGTTGCGGTGGACCAAAGCACAATGTTGCAGAGTTTTAAGGAGAATGTTGTAATCCCACACCCAACCACATGATGGCGATCTCACAGGAGTTTAGAAACCAAAGCGGTCTCATTTACGCTGCTTCTTTCTCCTCTTCAGAACAAAAATAACAGTGAAGCTGTTTGAGATCATTACATGTGTTTCTACTGTAGCTTTATGTGACCGGTCTAAACTCATCGTTTCAACTCATTTAACTCTGATGCTGTGAATAAAGACACAGTTCTGTTGGAAACAGTTATTATTATTATATACTATACTGTATATATTATTACTATATTACAGTTATTCTGAAAGTGTTTTCAGCACAAACAGCAAAACAATAAGTGGTAAATATCTGAGACAAACATGAACAATTTATAAGTGCAGGAGGAATGGAACAGACACAGCTACGATTCAAACAAGACAGGAACAGTTTATATGTTAGATATAAGTTAGCTATAAGTTAGATATATGTTATATATATGTTAGATATACAACAGAACTCTAGTCCACAGTCTCCTGTATATCAGGCTCTGAGCCCAAACTACTTTTCCTTTGGTTTCTTCGAAGCGTGAAGCTCTCTGCTCCATAGTGCCTCGTCCATGCTCCTGCTGCAGCCGCTCCGTGCTTCCTTCCAATACACACACACACGGACCAATCACAGCGGAGCTTCCTTGCGGCGACCCTTACGTAGTTAGAAAATGTCCATGCTGCGCGGCAGGCGACGTAATGGCTTTGAAGTGACCAACGCGTTGCGCAAGTGACGTCACGTCACTTCCGTAAGCTTATTTGACAGGGACAATAGTCATACATAGTAACATTATGAAAGATGCAGCTGATGCTAATGCTAATGCTAATGCTAATTTTCAACTCCTGTCCCTGGAATTGGTTTCTTGTCCATATTTTGTATTGCTTCATTGTTTAATGATCCAAAGCACTGTGGCTGAGGGAGCTGGGTCCTGCTGTCATGGGACCATCCCATGGACCATCCCATGGACCATCATGGACCATCCCATGGACCATCATGGACCATCCCATGGACCATCATGGACCATCATGGACCATCCCATGGACCATCATGGACCATCATGGACCATCCCATGGATCATCATGGACCATCATGGACCATCCCATGGACCATCATGGACCATCCCATGGACCATCATGGACCATCATGGACCATCCCGTGGACCATCATGGACCCTCCCATGGACCATCATGGACCCTCCCATGGACCATCATGGACCATCATGGACCATCCCGTGGACCATCATGAACCATCCCGTGGACCATCATGGACCCTCCCATGGACCATCATGGACCATCATGGACCATCCCGTGGACCATCATGGACCCTCCCATGGACCATCATGGACCCTCCCATGGACCATCATGGACCATCATGGACCATCATGGACCATCCCATGGACCATCATGGACCATCATGGACCATCATGGACCATCCCATGGACCATCATGGACCATCATGGACCATCATGGACCATCATGGACCATCATGGACCATCCCGTGGACCATCCCGTGGACCATCCCAGGGTCGCTGGATTGGGAATAAAATGACTTATTAGTTTGAAACAGTTGAGATTGCGGTGAGTAGTTTTACAAAGTTTTTGTAAATGTTTATAAAATGTTAGTTCTGGATTTAGAACCAACCCGAGGTATTCTGTTATTGTTTTGATTTGTTCATTTTGTAATGTGGTGAGTTATGGTGTAGTCTGGTTAGGACAGACTGAATCTGGTTTAGTACATGGAGACCTGACTTTAAAGATGGAGACGTGACTTTAAAGATGGAGACCTGACTTTAAAGATGGAGACGTGACTTTAAAGATGGAGACGTGACATTAAAGATGGAGACGTGACATTAAAGATGGAGACGTGACTTTAAAGATGGAGACGTGACTTTAAAGATGGAGACGTGACTTTAAAGATGGAGACGTGACATTAAAGATGGAGACGTGACATTAAAGATGGAGACGTGACATTAAAGATGGAGACGTGACATTAAAGATGGAGCAGTGGGGGTGGATCCCGGCTCAGAAGTGTCCAAAATGACGTGCGCTGACATGCTGCAGTACCACCCCGGGCCTGTGGGGGAGGACCCAGAAGAAGAATTAGCCAATGCTAACATATAGCATTGGCAGACCATTCAAAAACGTCTTTACAGGATGGTCCAAAAGTGTCTCTTGGCCCAAAGCTCCGTTCCACATGTGTGTCAATGCTGAGGGGAGTGGATATTTTTGGTCCACTCTAGTTTAGTCGCTGTGGACTTTTGAAGTCTGTCGTTCAAATGAACGGAGCTGCACCGACTGACGCATGCGCAGATGCGTTTTTTCACAATTTTCTTCAGTTCAGTCCAGTTCAGTTTATTTATTTGCCATTTGCAGTAAAAACACCACATAGGAATACATTAGCAAAAGTCTCCAGTGTGCACAGACAAATACAGACATAAAACAACATTAAAAGACAAAAATAAAACAAATAAAACAGTAAACAAATGTCACTGTGAAATGGATCGACTAAAACAGTTTCAAAACAAGTGCAAATCATTAAAGTGCTCTGTTCACACTGATAACAGCTTGTGGATAAAAACTGTTAGCGTAACGAGATGTCCTGCATCTCAGAGAGCGATATCTTCTGCCAGAGGGAAGAAGCTGGAACATGGCTTTCCCAGGGTGGCCAGAAGAGTCATTGACAATCCTAAGAGCTTTGTTTAAAAGTCTGGATTTATAAAGAACCTCCAGAACAGGAAGCTCACAGCCCACGGTCCTCTTTGCAGAGCGGAGCACCTTGTTTAAAGCTCTCTTTTCTTTATCTGTGATGTTTCCAAACCACACAGACACAGAACCAACAAGTAAACTCTCAATGGTGCAGCGATAAAAGTTAAGCACAATCTTAGAGTTAGTGGTAAATTCTCTAAGTTTACGCAGAAAGTAGAGACGCTGACGAGCTTTCTTAACGACTCGGTCAGTGTTTTTAACCCATTTCAGGTTAGACAGAGTTAAACCCAGAAACTTGCACTCCTCTACGATCTGCACCTGGGAGTTGTCGATTACGACAGGCAAATGAGAACTATTGCGACTGAAGTCGTAGACCAGTTCACATGTTTTGGATGCGTTCAACTGGAGGTTGTTAGTTTGACTCCACTGAACCACATTTTGTATCTCTGCTCTATAAGAGGATTCATCAGTGTCACTGATGAGACCGATGATGGTGGCGTCATCAGCATATTTGATGATCAAGTTTGAGTCAGAGGAGGACACACAATCGTGAGTGTACAAAGTAAAAAGCAAAGGACTCAAAATACATCCCTGAGGAGAACCAGTGCTCACAGAAACAACATCAGAAAAACAGTCATTGATTTTCACTCTCTGAGATCTGTCAGTTAAAAAGCTAAAAATCCATTTACACATGGCAACACTTAAACCGAGAGACATGAGCTTTTCCATCAGTTTACAGTGGGCGGGACCACTCGCGGCCATTTTGGATTGCTCAGTAGGGCACATTTTTTGGCCCATTAGTTAGAACGGCGGAGATAGGCGTGACTCTGTCCGTTAATATATACAGTCTATGAGATGGAGACGTGACTTTAAAGATGGAGACCTGACTTTAAAGATGGAGACCTGACTTTAAAGATGGAGACCTGACATTAAAGATGGAGACGTGACTTTAAAGATGGAGACCTGACTTTAAAGATGGAGACGTGACTTTAAAGATGGAGACGTGACTTTAAAGATAGAGACGTGACTTTAAAGATGGAGACCTGACTTTAAAGATGGAGACGTGACTTTAAAGATGGAGACGTGACTTTAAAGATAGAGACGTGAATTTAAAGATGGAGACCTGACTTTAAAGATGGAGACCTGACTTTAAAGATGGAGACCTGACTTTAAAGATGGAGACCTGACTTTAAAGATGGAGACCTGACTTTAAAGATGGAGACCTGACTTTAAAGATGGAGACGTGACTTTAAAGATGGAGACGTGACTTTAAAGATGGAGACATGACTTTAAAGATGGAGACGTGACTTTAAAGATGGAGACATGACTTTAAAGATGGAGACGTGACTTTAAAGATGGAGACGTGACTTTAAAGATGGAGACATGACTTTAAAGATGGAGACGTGACTTTAAAGATGGAGACGTGACTTTAAAGATGGAGACATGACTTTAAAGATGGAGACGTGACTTTAAAGATGGAGACCTGACTTTAAAACAGACCTCGGCTCTAAAACAGTTATTACTGGATTTGTTTTTGGTCTGTATTTGGTCCTGGCCCTGGCCCTTGTTTTGGTCTTGATCCTGGTTCTGGTCCTGATCCTGGTTGTAGTTCTGGTCCTGGTTCTGATCCTGGTTCTGATCCTGGTCCTGGTCCTGCTTTTGGTCCTGATCCTAGTCCTGGTCCTAGTCCTGGTCCTGGTCCTGGTCCTGCTTTTGGTCCTGGTCGTGATTCTGGCCCCAGTCCTGGTCCTGGTCCTGGGGGAACAGTGCTGGTGGCAGAGTGGTTAGCACTAAGTAGGTCATTGTGAAGCAGCCAAATGATAAAAATAAGTCGTTTCATCCAAAAAACAAAAGATTTTCCTTTCTTTGTGAAGTCCAGGTAAATCTGGTCTCTCTCTGGTCTCTCTCTGGTCTTTCTCTAGTCTCTCTCTGGTCTCTCTCTGGTCTCTCTCTGGTCTCTCTCTGGTCTCTCTCTGGTCTCTCTCTAGTCTCTCTCTGGTCTCTCTCTGGTCCCTCTCTGGTCTCTCTCTCTGGTCTCTTACTGGTCTCTTTCTGGTCTCTCTCTGGTCCCTCTCTGGTCTCTCTCTCTGGTCCCTCTCTGGTCCCTCTATCTGGTCTCTCTCTGGTCTCTCTCTGGTGTCTCTCTGGTCTCTCTCTGGTCCCTCTCTGGTCCCTCTCTCTGGTCTCTCTCTGGTCTCTCTCAGGTGTCTCTCTGGTCTCTCTCTGGTCCCTCTCTGGTCCCTCTCTGGTCCCTCTCTCTGGTCTCTCTCTGGTCTCTATAGTCTCTCTCTGGTCTCTTTCTGCTCTCTCTCTCTGGTCCCTCTCTGGTCTCTCTCTGGTCCCTCTCTGGTCTCTCTCTGGTCTCTCTCTGATCTCTCTCTGGTCCCTCTCTGGTCCCTCTCTGGTCCCTCTCTGGTTCCCTCTCTGGTCTCTCTCTCTGGTCTCCCTCTGGTCTCTCTCTGGTCTCTCTCTGGTCTCTCTTTCTGGTCTCTCCCTGGTCTCTCCCTGGTCTCTCCCTGGTCTCTCTCTGGTCCCTCTCTGGTCTCTCTCTGGTCCCTCTCTGGTCTCTTTCTGCTCTCTCTCTGGTCTCTCTCTGGTCCCTCTCTGGTTCCCTCTCTGGTCTCTCTCTTTGGTCTCTCTCTGGTCTCTCTCTGGTCTCTCTCTGGTCTCTCTGGTCTCTCTCTGGTCTCTCTCTGCTCTCTCTCTGGTCTCTCTCTGGTCCCTCTCTGGTCCCTCTCTGGTCCCTCTCTGGTCTCTCTCTGGTCTCCCTCTGGTCTCTCTCTGGTCTCTTTCTGGTCCCTCTCTGGTCCCTCTCTGGTCCCCTCTCTGGTCCCCTCTCTGGTCTCTCTCTGGTCTCTCTCACCTGTGGAGGCTGTAGACTTGCTCCTTCCTTCTGTACGATGGTGTGATGGTTCCGTGGGGCCTGATGGTGTTGGGAGAGTGTGGACCGCTCTGAGGAAGAGGAGGCTGTGGTCCTCCTCCCCATCTCTGAGTCTGAAAGCGGGTCACAGTCTCTGCAGTGTCCTGGATACAAGCCCAGCAACTAACAGACCAGAGAGAGACCAGAGAGAGACCAGAGAGAGACCAGGGAGAGACCAGAGAGAGACCACAGAGAGACCAGAGAGAGACCAGAGGGAGAGACCAGAGAGAGAGTCCAGAGAGAGAGAGACCAGAGGGAGACCAGAGGGAGACCAGAGAGAGACCAGAGAGAGACCAGAGAGAGTCCAGAGAGAGACTAGAGAGAGACCAGAGGGAGACCAGAGAGAGAGACCAGAGAGAGACCAGGGAGATACCAGAGAGAGACCAGGGTGAGACCAGAGAGAGACCAGAGAGACCAGAGAGATGGTACACCATACCTGTAGGTGAAAGACCAGAGAGAGACCAGAGAGAGACCAGAGAGAGACCCAGGGAGAGACCATAGAGAGAGACCAGAGAGAGAGACCAGAGAGAGAGACCAGAGAGATAGACCAGAGAGAGAGACCAGAGAGAGAGACCAGAGAGAGACCAGAGAGAGAGACTAGGGAGAGAGAGATCAGAGAGAGACCAGAAAGAGACCAGGGAGAGACCATAGAGAAAGACCAGAGAGAGACCAGAGAGACCAGAGAGAGAGACCAGAGAGATAGACCAGAGAGAGAGACCAGAGAGAGAGACCAGAGAGAGAGACTAGGGAGAGAGAGATCAGAGTGGGACTAGTGAGAGACAAAGTGAAAGACCAGAGAGAGACCGGAGGCAGACCAGAGAGAGATCAGAGGGAGAGAACAGTGACCAGAGAGACCAGAGAGAGAGACCAGAGAGAGAGAACAGAGAGAGAGAACAGAGTGACCAGAGAGAGACCAGAGAGAGACTAGAGAGAGACTAGAGGGAGCAGAGAGACCTTCATCACCTGTGGTCTGCTGCCCTCTGGTGGCCAAAACATGCACTTCTCAATCAGAAACATTAAGCTGCAGTTCTAACAGTAAAACTGAGGTAATAATTATCCATACCTGCAGGTGAAAGCCAGATACCATCAGACCTCTGAAGCTGAGCGGGATAGGGCCTGGTCAGTGCTCTGATGGGAGACCTCTGGGAACAGCAGGTGCCACAGTGGGGCGGCTGCGGCTGTGCCAAACTGTGGTTGTGTCCTTGTGCAAGACACTTCCCCCACATTAGAATGAGTCTGGTGTGTGTGTGAATGGTTGGTGGTGGTGGGAGGGGCTGATGGCACAGACTGGTTGCCTCGCTTCTGTCAGTGTGCCCCAGGGCAGCTGTGGCTACAGTAGTTTATCACCACCGTGTTTGGAGTGAATGAATACTAATGTGAAGAGACTTTGAATGTCCTGTTGCCCATGTCCTGTTGCCCATGTCCTGTTGTCCATCTCCTGTTGCCCACATTGCCCATGTCCTGTTGTCCATGTCCTGTTGCCCATCTCCTGTTGCCCACATTGCCCATGTCCTGTTGTCCATGTCCTGTTGTCCATGTCCTGTTGCCCACGTCCTGTTGCCCACGTCCTGTTGCCCACATTGCCCACGTCCTGTTGCCCACGTCCTGTTGCCCACATTGCCCATGTCCTGTTGCCCATGTCCTGTTGCCCATGTCCTGTTGCCCATGTCCTGTTGCCCATGTCCTGTTGCCCACGTTGCCCATGTCCTGTTGCCCATGTCCTGTTGCCCACGTCCTGTTGCCCATGTCCTGTTGCCCATGTCCTGTTGCCCATGTCCTGTTGCCCATGTCCTGTTGCCCACGTCCTGTTGCCCATGTCCTGTTGCCCATGTCCTGTTGCCCATGTCCTGTTGCCCATGTCCTGTTGCCCATGTCCTGTTGTCCATGTCCTGTTGTCCATGTCCTGTTGCCCACATTGCCCATGTCCTGTTGCCCATGTCCTGTTGCCCATGTCCTGTTGTCCATGTCCTGTTGCCCATGTCCTGTTGCCCACATTGCCCATGTCCTGTTGCCCATGTCCTGTTGTCCATGTCCTGTTGTCCATGTCCTGTTGCCCACATTGCCCATGTCCTGTTGCCCATGTCCTGTTGCCCATGTCCTGTTGTCCATGTCCTGTTGCCCACATTGCCCATGTCCTGTTGTCCATGTCCTGTTGTCCATCTCCTGTTTGCCCACATTGCCCATGTCCTGTTGTCCATGTCCTGTTGCCCACGTCCTGTTGCCCACGTCCTGTTGCCCACATTGCCCACGTCCTGTTGCCCATGTCCTGTTGTCCATGTCCTGTTGCCCATCTCCTGTTGCCCACATTGCCCATGTCCTGTTGTCCATGTCCTGTTGTCCATGTCCTGTTGCCCACGTCCTGTTGCCCACATTGCCCACGTCCTGTTGCCCACGTCCTGTTGCCCACATTGCCCATGTCCTGTTGCCCATGTCCTGTTGCCCATGTCCTGTTGCCCATGTCCTGTTGCCCACGTTGCCCATGTCCTGTTGCCCATGTCCTGTTGCCCATGTCCTGTTGCCCATGTCCTGTTGCCCATGTCCTGTTGCCCACGTCCTGTTGCCCATGTCCTGTTGCCCATGTCCTGTTGCCCATGTCCTGTTGCCCATGTCCTGTTGTCCATGTCCTGTTGTCCATGTCCTGTTGCCCACATTGCCCATGTCCTGTTGCCCATGTCCTGTTGCCCATGTCCTGTTGTCCATGTCCTGTTGCCCATCTCCTGTTGCCCACATTGCCCATGTCCTGTTGTCCATGTCCTGTTGTCCATCTCCTGTTGCCCACATTGCCCATGTCCTGTTGCCCATGTCCTGTTGCCCATGTCCTGTTGTCCATGTCCTGTTGCCCATGTCCTGTTGCCCACATTGCCCATGTCCTGTTGCCCATGTCCTGTTGTCCATGTCCTGTTGCCCACGTCCTGTTGCCCACGTCCTGTTGCCCACATTGCCCACGTCCTGTTGCCCATGTCCTGTTGCCCATGTCCTGTTGCCCTCGTTGCCCATGTCCTGTTGCCCATGTCCTGTTGCCCACGTCCTGTTGCCCATGTCCTGTTGCCCATGTCCTGTTGCCCATGTCCTGTTGCCCTCGTTGCCCATGTCCTGTTGCCCATGTCCTGTTGCCCACGTCCTGTTGCCCATGTCCTGTTGCCCATGTCCTGTTGCCCATGTCCTGTTGCCCATGTCCTGTTGTCCATGTCCTGTTGCCCATCTCCTGTTGCCCACATTGCCCATGTCCTGTTGTCCATGTCCTGTTGCCCATCTCCTGTTGCCCACATTGCCCATGTCCTGTTGTCCATGTCCTGTTGCCCACGTCCTGTTGCCCATGTCCTGTTGCCCATGTCCTGTTGCCCATGTCCTGTTGCCCATGTCCTGTTGCCCATGTCCTGTTGCCCACGTTGCCCATGTCCTGTTGCCCATGTCCTGTTGCCCACGTCCTGTTGCCCACGTTGCCCATGTCCTGTTGCCCATGTCCTGTTGCCCACATTGCCCACGTCCTGTTGCCCATGTCCTGTTGCCCATGTCCTGTTGCCCATGTCCTATTGCCCATGTCCTGTTGCCCACGTTGCCCATGTCCTGTTGCCCATGTCCTGTTGCCCACATTGCCCATGTCCTGTTGTCCATGTCCTGTTGCCCATCTCCTGTTGCCCACATTGCCCATGTCCTGTTGTCCATGTCCTGTTGCCCATCTCCTGTTGCCCACATTGCCCATGTCCTGTTGTCCATGTCCTGTTGCCCACGTCCTGTTGCCCATGTCCTGTTGCCCATGTCCTGTTGCCCATGTCCTGTTGCCCATGTCCTGTTGCCCATGTCCTGTTGCCCACGTTGCCCATGTCCTGTTGCCCATGTCCTGTTGCCCACGTTGCCCATGTCCTGTTGTCCATGTCCTGTTGCCCATGTCCTGTTGCCCATGTCCTGTTGTCCATCTCCTGTTGCCCACATTGCCCATGTCCTGTTGTCCATGTCCTGTTGCCCACGTCCTGTTGCCCACGTCCTGTTGCCCACATTGCCCACGTCCTGTTGCCCATGTCCTGTTGCCCATGTCCTGTTGTCCATCTCCTGTTGCCCACATTGCCCATGTCCTGTTGTCCATGTCCTGTTGCCCACGTCCTGTTGCCCACGTCCTGTTGCCCACATTGCCCACGTCCTGTTGCCCATGTCCTGTTGCCCATGTCCTGTTGCCCACGTTGCCCATGTCCTGTTGCCCATGTCCTGTTGCCCACGTCCTGTTGCCCATGTCCTGTTGCCCATGTCCTGTTGCCCATGTCCTGTTGCCCATGTCCTGTTGTCCATGTCCTGTTGCCCATCTCCTGTTGCCCACATTGCCCATGTCCTGTTGTCCATGTCCTGTTGCCCATCTCCTGTTGCCCACATTGCCCATGTCCTGTTGTCCATGTCCTGTTGCCCACGTCCTGTTGCCCATGTCCTGTTGCCCATGTCCTGTTGCCCATGTCCTGTTGCCCATGTCCTGTTGCCCATGTCCTGTTGCCCATGTCCTGTTGCCCACGTTGCCCATGTCCTGTTGCCCATGTCCTGTTGCCCACGTCCTGTTGCCCACGTTGCCCATGTCCTGTTGCCCACATTGCCCACGTCCTGTTGCCCATGTCCTGTTGCCCATGTCCTGTTGCCCATGTCCTGTTGCCCATGTCCTGTTGCCCACGTTGCCCATGTCCTGTTGCCCATGTCCTGTTGCCCACATTGCCCATGTCCTGTTGTCCATGTCCTGTTGCCCATCTCCTGTTGCCCACATTGCCCATGTCCTGTTGTCCATGTCCTGTTGCCCATCTCCTGTTGCCCACATTGCCCATGTCCTGTTGTCCATGTCCTGTTGCCCACGTCCTGTTGCCCATGTCCTGTTGCCCATGTCCTGTTGCCCATGTCCTGTTGCCCATGTCCTGTTGCCCATGTCCTGTTGCCCACGTTGCCCATGTCCTGTTGCCCATGTCCTGTTGCCCACGTTGCCCATGTCCTGTTGTCCATGTCCTGTTGCCCATGTCCTGTTGCCCATGTCCTGTTGCCCATGTCCTGTTGCCCATGTCCTGTTGCCCACGTTGCCCATGTCCTGTTGCCCATGTCCTGTTGCCCACATTGCCCACGTCCTGTTGCCCATGTCCTGTTGCCCATGTCCTGTTGCCCATGTCCTGTTGCCCATGTCCAGAGGGCGACAGTAGCTCAGTTCATGGAGCATTGGTCTTTGGGCTGGAAGGTTGTGTGTTTGAGCCCACCTTGGGACCTACTCCAACTTCTCCCACTGATGTCTGCTGTTGTGGTGTCCTTGGGCCAGACACTTAACCCCACATTGCCTGAAACACCACTGATGTAGCAGCCATCTTCCTGTGGACCCCCCCTGCAGAGGATCAGAGGGACTGGTGCTGTGGGCGTGGGTGCAGCTCTCAGTGTCACCCTCTGACCCAGATATGGACTAATAAATGATCCATATTAATATTAAACATGTGTTATTTATGAAACTACAGACCCTCTCTTTAAACAGGTATCGTTGATATGTCCAAACTGACAAGAACAGACCATTTTGCCTAAAACACATTGGAATTATTCATATCGTAGTCGACAGGGAAGGCACTCGGACAGAGTCGGTCAATCAAAGTTGTTATATAATATTTTTATAATAATATTGTTGGAATGTAAAGATTATTATATATATATATATATATATATATATATATATATATATACACACGTATATACAGTGCCTTGCGAAAGTATTCGGCCCCCTTGAACCTTTCAACATTTCGCCACTGTTATAGAAATCTTACTGGGATTATAAATCAATTTAACTTAAGAATAAATCTAATGATGAAATGGGATATCTGGGACAAAGTTCAAAGCCAGTAAATCTGTTGAAACTAACTAAACTGTTTTTCTGTAGAGACGCGAGGCCAATGACGGGGTGGAGGCAGATACGAGATTGATATCAGGGGCAAGGAGAGCAGGCTCACCGGTCATAGTGACAATTCTTCCTAATATCAGAGTAATATCAGAGTCTATCAGAGTAAGACGTCAGACGAGAGGGGGGTTTGGGGCAATAGCTGCCACTTAATCTCGGACTCAGAGGCGCCATAGATAGACTCTTTTGTTTATTCCACCCTATAAATGTGAGAGAGAATGAGCACTATTGGGCAGATCTATCCGGGACCTGCCACGCGGTTACACGGTTGTATTTCCTGTATATATATACATTTACTGAGATAATAAACCACACTTTGATTTGAACTACAGCTCTTGTTGTTTATTTTATATTTAATATTGTGTATTTCACTCCTTAGAAATTCCACAACACCACATTTCAGGCTTCAAACATAAAGATATAAAAATATTTTTTTTTGTCAAGAATCAACAACAAGTGGGACACAATCGTGAAGTGGAACGAAATGTATTGGATAATTTAAATTTTTTAACAAATAAACTGAAAAGTGGGGCGTGCAATATTATTCGGCCCCTTGCGCTAATACTTTGTAGCGCCACCTTTTGCTGCAATTGCAGCTGCAAGTCGCTTGGGGTATGTCTCTATCAGTTTTGCACATCGAGAGACTGGAATTCTTGCCCATTCTTCCTTGCAAAACAGCTGGAGCTCAGTGAGGTTGGATGGAGAGCGTTTGTGAACAGCAGTCTTCAGCTCTTTCCACAGATTCTCGATTGGATTCAGGTCTGGACTTTGACTTGGCCATTCTAACACCTGGATACGTCTATTTGTGAACCATTCCATTGTAGATTTGGCTTTATGTTTTGGATCATTGTCCTGTTGGAAGATAAATCTCCGTCCCAGTCTCAGGTCTTTTGCAGACTCCAACAGGTTTTCTTCCAGAATGGTCCTGTATTTGGCTCCATCCATCTTCCCATCAATTTTAGCCATCTTCCCTGTCCCTGCTGAAGAAAAGCAGGCCCAAAGCATGATGCTGCCACCACCATGTTTGACAGTGGGGATGGTGTGTTCAGGGTGATGAGCTGTGTTGCTTTTACGCCAAACATATCGTTTTGCATTGTGGCCAAAAAGTTCGATTTTGGTTTCATCTGACCAGAGCACCTTCTTCCACATGTTTGGTGTGTCTCCCAGGTGGCTTGTGGCAAACTTTAAACCAGACTTTTTATGGATATCTTTGAGAAATGGCTTTCTTCTTGCCACTCTTCCATAAAGGCCAGATTTGTGCAGTGCACGACTGATTGTTGTCCTATGGACAGACTCTCCCACCTCAGCTGTAGTTATCTGCAGTTCATCCAGAGTGATCATGGGCCTCTTGGCTGCATCTCTGATCAGTCTTCTCCTTGTTTGAGATGAAAGTTTGGAGGGACGGCCGGGTCTTGGTAGATTTGCAGTGGTCTGATACTCCTTCCATTTCAATATAATTGCTTGCACAGTGCTCCTTGAGATGTTTAAAGCTTGGGAAATCTTTTGTATCCAAATCCAGCTTTAAACTTCTCCACAACAGTATCTCGGACCTGCCTGGTGTGTTTCTTTGTCTTCATGGTTCTCTCTGCGCTCTAAACAGAACCCTGAGACTATCAAAGAGCAGATTTATACGGAGACTTGATTACACACAGGTGCATTCTATTTATCATCATCAGTCATTTAGGACAACATTGGATCATTCAAAGATCCTCACTGAACTTCTGGACTGAGTTTGCTGCACTGAAAGTAAAGGGGCCGAATAATATTGCACGCCCCACTTTTCAGTTTTTTATTTGTTAAAAAAGTTTAAACTATCCAATAAATTTCGTTCCACTTCACGATTGTGTCCCAATTGTTGTTGATTCATGACAAAAAATTAAAATTTTATATCTTTATGTTTGAAGCCTGAAATGTGGCGAAATGTTGAAAGGTTCGAGGGGGCCGAATATTTTCGCAAGGCACTGTATATCTATATGTAAAAATTAATATTCAAATGTTTGGATTAAAAGAATGTTCAATCTGACAAGACCTTTTAGGAAACTTAAATCCCTAAACACATGCAAACTATTCAGCAGATTAACTCCACTTCTGCAAAAACCATGAAGAAGGAACTAGAGATGACTATGAACAACATGGTACCAGCTGTCAACAAACCAGGGGAGCACCAGATATAGAGGAGCCTGAATCGGAGCACTCTGTTTCAGGAACTGTGCGACTGCTCTTCAGGCTCCGGGCTTTTCAACATGTGTTTGTCCTGAAGAAGAATCCGACTGCTTTGTCCGAGCTGTAGATGAAACCAGGAGACCCACTGTCACACACACCCGGGCCCCAAAAGTACTGGATTACAGCGTCCAAAACAAAGTCTGTCTGTAGGAGCGCTCAGTAAGTCTTACGAAGGACTATCCATCGTCACAATCATTATGGACAGCAGCAACAAAATGTTTGTCGATCATGAGCAGGACATCGTCAGCAGAGAGAACTCTCAGCTGAAGGAAAGTGGGCTGATAATGGGCTGCACGGGGAGGCGTCACTTCCTGTTAACGCAGATTAGCCCATTCACTTCCTGTCTACTCTATCCTATGGCTTTTAGGTGGGTTTTAGTGACGTTTTTTAGTAATTAGATCGATACATTCAGCTGAGACTGACCCAAAAGTGTCACTGTGCTTTCTCTCTGAGGTAGAGCTGTGACTGTGGCCACTCAGAGAGATTAGTTAACTTTATGAAAACACAATGACAGCACAATCAGAGAGCACTGCTGTGTCCCAAAATGCCCAGTATCCACACAGTTTAATTTCCGTTTGAGCATTATTTAGGAACCTCGTGTAAACCACTGCTGCACTCCAGTGAAACTCAAGCCGTTTCCCGCGAACAGGAAGTGAAGTGGGGTTGTAGCTAAAACGCAGAAGTGGTGCATAGAGCCCATAACTCCCAAACAGCCCTCTCTTGGTGCCACCATCAGGAGAGTCCTCATCAGGAGAGTCCCCATCAGGAGAGTCCCCATCAGGAGAGTCCCCATCAGGAGAGTCCCCATCAGGAGAGTCCCATCAGGAGAGTCTCATCAGGAGAGTCCCCATCAGGAGAGTCTGCATCAGGAGAGTCCCCATCAGGAGAGTCCCATCAGGAGAGTCCAGGAGTCTCATCAGGAGAGTCCCCATCAGGAGAGTCCTCATCAGGAGAGTCTCATCAGGAGAGTCCCATCAGGAGAGTCTCCATCAGGAGAGTCTGCATCAGGAGAGTCCCCATCAGGAGAGTCCCATTAGGAGAGTCCCATCAGGAGAGTCCCCATCAGGAGAGTCTCATCAGGAGAGTCCCATTAGGAGAGTCTCATCAGGAGAGTCCCATCAGGAGAGTCTCATCAGGAGAGTCCCATTAGGAGAGTCCCATCAGGAGAGTCTCATCATGAGAGTCCCATTAGGAGAGTCCTCATCAGGAGAGTCTCATCATGAGAGTCCCATCAGGAGAGTCTCATCAGGACAGTCCCAATCAGGAGAGTCTCATCAGGAGAGTCTCATCAGGAGAGTCCCATTAGGAGAGTCCCCATCAGGAGAGTCCTCATCAGGAGAGTCCCCATCAGGAGAGTCTCATCAGCAGAGTCCTCATCAGGAGAGTCTCATCAGGAGAGTCCTCATCAGGAGAGTCTCATCAGGAGAGTCCCAATCAGGAGAGTCTCATCAGGAGAGTCCCATTAGGAGAGTCCCATCAGGAGAGTCTCATCATGAGAGTCCTCATCAGGAGAGTCTCATCATGAGTGTCCCCATCAGGAGAGTCTCATCAGGAGAGTCCCATTAGGAGAGTCTCATCAGGAGAGTCTCATCATGAGAGTCTCATCATGAGTGTCCCCATCAGGAGAGTCTCATCAGGGGGAGTCTCATCAAGGAGAGTCTCATCAGGAGAGTCCTCATCAGGAGATTCCCCATCAGGAGAGTCTCATTAGGAGAGTCCTCATCAGGAGAGTCTGAATCAGGAGAGTCCCCATCAGGAGAGTCCCATCAGGAGAGTCCAGGAGTCTCATCAGGAGAGTCCCCATCAGGAGAATCCCATTAGGAGAGTCCCCATCAGGAGAGTCTGAATCAGGAGAGTCCCCATCAGGAGAGTCCCATCAGGAGAGTCCCGGAGTCTCATCAGGAGAGTCCCCATCAGGAGAATCCCATTAGGAGAGTCCCATCAGGAGAGTCTCATCATGAGAGTCCCATCAGGAGAGTCCTTATCAGGAGTCTCATCATGAGAGTCCCATCAGGAGAGTCTCATCAGGAGAGTCCCAATCAGGAGAGTCTCATCAGGAGAGTCTCATCAGGAGAGTCTCATCAGGAGAGTCCCATTAGGAGAGTCTCATCAGGAGAGTCCCCATCAGGAGAGTCTGCATCAGGAGAGTCCCCATCAGGAGAGTCCCATCAGGAGAGTCCAGGAGTCTCATCAGGAGAGTCCCCATCAGGAGAGTCCTCATCAGGAGAGTCTCATCAGGAGAGTCCCATCAGGAGAGTCTCCATCAGGAGAGTCTGCATCAGGAGAGTCCCCATCAGGAGAGTCCCATTAGGAGAGTCCCATCAGGAGAGTCCCCATCAGGAGAGTCTCATCAGGAGAGTCCCATTAGGAGAGTCCCCATCAGGAGAGTCCCATCAGGAGAGTCTCATCAGGAGAGTCCCCATCAGGAGAGTCTGCATCAGGAGAGTCCCCATCAGGAGAGTCCCATCAGGAGAGTCCAGGAGTCTCATCAGGAGAGTCCCCATCAGGAGAGTCCTCATCAGGAGAGTCTCATCAGGAGAGTCCCATCAGGAGAGTCTCCATCAGGAGAGTCTGCATCAGGAGAGTCCCCATCAGGAGAGTCCCATTAGGAGAGTCCCATCAGGAGAGTCCCCATCAGGAGAGTCTCATCAGGAGAGTCCCATTAGGAGAGTCCCATCAGGAGAGTCTCATCAGGAGAGTCCCATCAGGAGAGTCTCATCAGGAGAGTCCCATTAGGAGAGTCCCATCAGGAGAGTCTCATCATGAGAGTCCCATCAGGAGAGTCCTCATCAGGAGAGTCTCATCATGAGAGTCCCATCAGGAGAGTCTCATCAGGACAGTCCCAATCAGGAGAGTCTCATCAGGAGAGTCTCATCAGGAGAGTCCCATTAGGAGAGTCCCCATCAGGAGAGTCCTCATCAGGAGAGTCCCCATCAGGAGAGTCTCATCAGCAGAGTCCTCATCAGGAGAGTCTCATCAGGAGAGTCCTCATCAGGAGAGTCTCATCAGGAGAGTCCCAATCAGGAGAGTCTCATCAGGAGAGTCCCATTAGGAGAGTCCCATCAGGAGAGTCTCATCATGAGAGTCCTCATCAGGAGAGTCTCATCATGAGTGTCCCCATCAGGAGAGTCTCATCAGGAGAGTCCCATTAGGAGAGTCTCATCAGGAGAGTCTCATCATGAGAGTCTCATCATGAGTGTCCCCATCAGGAGAGTCTCATCAGGGGGAGTCTCATCAAGGAGAGTCTCATCAGGAGAGTCCTCATCAGGAGATTCCCCATCAGGAGAGTCTCATTAGGAGAGTCCTCATCAGGAGAGTCTGAATCAGGAGAGTCCCCATCAGGAGAGTCCAGGAGTCTCATCAGGAGAGTCACCATCAGGAGAATCCCATTAGGAGAGTCCCCATCAGGAGAATCCCATTAGGAGAGTCCCCATCAGGAGAATCCCATTAGGAGAGTCCCCATCAGGAGAGTCTGAATCAGGAGAGTCCCCATCAGGAGAGTCCCATCAGGAGAGTCCCGGAGTCTCATCAGGAGAGTCCCCATCAGGAGAATCCCATTAGGAGAGTCCCATCAGGAGAGTCTCATCAGGAGAGTCTCATCATGAGAGTCCCATCAGGAGAGTCCTTATCAGGAGTCTCATCATGAGAGTCCCATCAGGAGAGTCTCATCAGGAGAGTCCCAATCAGGAGAGTCTCATCAGGAGAGTCCCATTAGGAGAGTCCCATCAGGAGAGTCCTCATCAGGAGATTCCCCATCAGGAGAGTTCTCATCAGGAGAGTCCCCATCAGGAGAGTCCCCATCAGGAGAGTCCCCATCAGGAGAGTCCTCATCAGGAGAGCCCTCATCAGGAGAGTGGTTTTTCAAAGACTTACTTGGGGAAGACTAAGCAAAAGAAGCAAACGTGCTGACTCTGATCCACAGATGTTTTGTTCTAAACAATTCTGTGAAAAAGACAAAATAAAGCAAGTCACAGCATTTTGTTGATGAGGATTTATTTGATATTGGCATAATCACTGACATAACATGTTGGTAGAAATATCACGGGTCAACAACTTAGCACCAGTTTATGTAACGACCCGTTTTCTTTTGAACCGAGCCCCAAGTTTGTGTATGCACATCATTAATCCACACATGCTGACGTAGGAGAAACCCAAGTGAAACAACTTGTTCACCAATGTGACGAACACCAGACCTTTTGATTTTCACCGCACACCACTTTACTGTGAACGCACACATGTTAAAGAAACCTGCAAGGTTAGACTGGAAGAAAGATCAACAGAATAAATGTGTTATTGTTGGTGCTTTTTCTCTCATTCCTCGAACAACGTTCAGTCCAATGGCACAACTGAGCCACACAAATTGGACAGTGCACAGCACACTGTGACAATTTTGTCCAACGTTGATACACAATCGTCAGGGCAGCGTAAGTAGTCGATGGGAATGGTGTGTCGCAAAATGGTGTACTTGTTCCGCAAGAGACCGATGAGGCGCTCCACATGGATCCGGCTGTGGGCCATGGTTCTTGTTGATTCATTCTGGAGGGCGGATAACTGTGGCTTTCCTCTTGTGGAAGACGGTCTCTTCACTTCTGCGCAGTGCAGTCTCACACTCTCTGGTGCGTCCAAGCCTCGGTCTGTGAGAACCATGTCCCCAGGCCGCAGCAGGGACAGCAGGCCACAGTTCTCAGTCACGTGCTGGTCGCTGGCTCGGCCCCCCCATCCTTTGGACAGAAAACAGACGACTCCCTGAGGTGTGAGGCCGGTGAGATACTTCACCGTATTGTGGTGCTTGTAATTCAACAATGTCTCCGTTTGAGTCAGGTCGTTGGAGGGCTTTCCTATAAAGACTTCAAAACAGTCTATAATTATTGACACCTTCACACCAAAGTCCTTTCTAAACTCCATGGGCATGGACATCAGGAGGTCCACTCGGTCTGGCCAGAGAACCAGTCCCCTCAGTCTGACGAACAGGACATGCACCACGTCCAGGAACACTTTGGAGACACAACTCGTGGAAACGCTGAACCTGTACGCCAAGTCCTGCTGGCCGAGGTCGAGTCGCAGCTTCATCAGGACCATTATCAGCATCTCAAATGGTGTCAGTGTGCTCAGAGCTGACTGAGGTATTCTGGCCTCGACACACGTGTACAGGGTCATGAGAATGTCGTAGGAAACACCTGTGTAATACTTTACTTTAGCGTCATTCCCCCTCAGCGAGTCCGGGCTCAGCACCAGGTCTTTCAGTTCCTCCTTCAGTAACGTGTTTTCAGTCCTCAGGCGCTGAAGCTCCGCCCTCATTTGCTTCATAAGTCCCGAGTCGTCTGGATGAGGACCTGCGGATTGTTGCGATGGGGCAGTAAGGGTCTCACGGTCGGTGGCCTCCTCAGACGCCGTATCCTGCCACCGCAGAGCGAGTGGTGCAGCCGCAGATTCACCGCGCTCCCTCTTTGTCTTTCTTTCTTTCGCCCTCTTAGACCGCTTTAGACTGGACTGTTTCATTTTGGGACACTTTGGAACTGGTTCCAATTTCAATAAAGGAGCCCAATCTGGATTGTACGGGTCGTACAGCTCAGCTTTCTTCCCTGAAAATAAAAAGAAATCATTATTTTAAAGAAGTAAATATATATATATATAAAGAAGTAAATATATTTACTTATTTCATATCATTCATATGGTACATGACGCAGACAGCCTTACAGTCGGAAAGTCATGTTTATAATATGTACATTTGTAGGATTGTGTGTACTATAATTATATTTAAATACTTTGGAGAACTATGCATGTGCTGTGTTTGTTACATTTTACCACAGATAGTTGTTGGTGTTATTTTGTCATAAAAAAATGACACAAACCAGACTTACTTTCACCAGGGTCCTGATGTAGAAATGCAATATTTTAATCACTCATTTATTTAGAAGGAAGCAGTCGATATCACAGCAGGACACTGACCCACGGACACACACTCGGCAGGGGCTATGACCAACACACCGCTCACACAGCAGTGTGTAGTGACTAGTGAGACGGAGAAAGTGTGTTGCAGAAAGGAGAAAGTGTGTTGCAGAAAGGAAAGTAAAGTGCAAAGCAGTATTTTTGATTAAGGAATGGTTATTCTGTGTTTTAGGTTTAGAACAAAAGCTTCAGGTTCTGTAACTTTGTCTAAGCGTGTGTGTCTGGTGTTCAAGGAACAGGAAAAAAATAGGACAGTTTTGAAGGAAAAAGGGGGTCCAACCCGGTACTAGCAAGGTACCTAATAAAGAGACACACACACACACGTCGGAACGGGGCCTTACTGAGTGAAGTATAATATATATATATATATTATGCTTTGAGCGGTGTACATATGGTCCGGAGCAGAGTTGCCGGTGATTAAATGGTTAGATGAGCTGCAGAGCCAGTGCGCGTTGTGCCGATGCTTTGCGTGGTATAAAATAGTGAATAACTGCTTAATCCCGAGCCCTGGTGCTGTAGGCAGTGTATAAATGACCAAGAGCCGTGGTAATAGCTTGGAGTGCTGTTGGAGTGCTGTTGGGAGTGCTGTTGGGAGTGCTGTTGGGAGTGCTGTTGGGAGTGCTGTTGGGAGTGCTGTTGGGAGTGCTGTTGGGAGTGCTGTTGGGAGTGCTGTTGGAGTGCTGTTGGAGTGCTGTTGGAGTGCTGTTGGAGTGCTGTTGGAGTGCTGTTGGGAGTGCTGTTGGGAGTGCTGTTGGAGTGCTGTTGGAGTGCTGTTGGAGTGCTGTTGGAGTGCTGTTGGAGTGCTGTTGGAGTGCTGTTGGAGTGCTGTTGGAGTGCTGTTGGAGTGCTGTTGGAGTGCTGTTGGGAGTGCTGTTGGGAGTGCTGTTGGGAGTGCTGTTGGAGTGCTGTTGGAGTGCTGTTGGGAGTGCTGTTGGGAGTGCTGTTGGGAGTGCTGTTGGGAGTGCTGTTGGGAGTGCTGTTGGGAGTGCTGTTGGAGTGCTGTTGGAGTGCTGTTGGAGTGCTGTTGGAGTGCTGTTGGGAGTGCTGTGCTGTTGGAGTGCTGTTGGTTGGAGTGCTGTTGGGAGTGCTGTTGGGAGTGCTGTTGGGAGTGCTGGAGTGCTGTTGGGAGTGCTGTTGGGAGTGCTGTTGGGAGTGCTGTTGGAGAACTGGTCTCTGTGACGTCGGGACTGTTTTGGTCACAGCCCCCTCTCAGCTTCTGTCTGCCACCCTTTCCCCCGCTTCCTCCTCCTCCTCCTCCTCCCCCTCCCTTCATTCAGTTTGAGAGGACTGTGTGAGGCCCACATGGTATCACAGTCAAATGTCTGAATAGAAGCCACACATACACAGGCTCTCACCTGTTATGAAATGGTCAGAGCAGACCTTAAAGTGCCGTTTTTTGGGGTCAGGGTTGAATCCCTCTCGGTTGATCCTGGCCAGCCAAAGGGTTCTTCTCTGTGTGGAGAGTCGCTCTGTCTCGCTCCCCTGGTTCGTGATGACCGTCGGAAGGTCAAAGAAGCCTCTCTTTACGACCCCACAACCTGAACGGCTAGTGCACCCCCGAACCACGCAGGTACTCGGCATGTTACTGCCGAGAAGAGGGATGTGCTGTGCTTTCTGTAGCCACAACTAGCGGCGGCTTGACTGACAACATGGCGCACCGCGGAATTGTGGGTAATGCGTGACGTGAGTGGAAAAGCATTGGGTGGGAATAAAAACTAATATATTTTATAATGATAAACACACAGCTGTAATCTGCGCTCGCATTTATGTTTGGGCTAAAATTGCCGCAAAAAAACAATTAATAACAAAATAAACGGGGGCGAAACTTCCCGATAAACCCCCGTGACGTCACTCGTGTGGTTCTAAGATGGCGGCCTCCGTGGATGAGCTTCTCTGATGTTTTCGTACGTTTATGGCACAAAACTAAGACATTGTACCTCGTGAAGAGTCCCTCACGGCGGCGGTGGCGTCCCTCGGCTCTCCGGGGAATCGGATAAAGTAAATACAGATTTTAGCCTCTGATTTTGAGCGGGGAAAGCAGTGTTTACTATAGCTAGCTGTTAGCTTCGTATCTGTTTACATGGTGTAGCTGTTAGCTTCGTATCTGTTTACATGGTGTAGCTGTTAGCTTCGTATCTGTTTACATGGTGTAGCTGTTAGCTTCATATCTGTTTACATGGTGTAGCTGTTAGCTTCATATCTGTTTACATGGTGTAGCTGTTAGCTTCGTATCTGTTTACATGGTGTAGCTGTTAGCTTCATATCTGTTTACATGGTGTAGCTGTTAGCATACTATTTGTTAAGAGACGGAGAGAGATCGGAGAGAGAGAGACCACAGAGAGAGAGAGCCTACAGACAGAGAGAGAGAGACCACAGACAGAGATAGAGACCACAGAGAGAGAGAGACTGACTAGTAATAGAGAGATAATGTTCTTGTTAGCATTAGCTGTGTTTACTTCTTGTAGCTGCAGACCCAGGACTGAGGCTGTGGACCCAGGACTGAGGCTGTGGACCCAGGACTGAGGCTGTGGACCCAGGACTGAGGCTGTAGATCCAGGACTGAGGCTGTAGACCCAGGACTGAGGCTGTAGACCCAGGACTGAGGCTGTAGACCCAGGACTGAGGCTGTAGACCCAGGACTGAGGCTGTAGACCCAGGACTGAGGCTGTAGACCCAGGACTGAGGCTGTGGACCCAGGACTGAGGCTGTAGATCCAGGACTGAGGCTGTAGACCCAGGACTGAGGCTGTCGATCCAGGACTGAGGCTGTAGACCCAGGACTGAGGCTGTAGACCCAGGACTGAGGCTGTAGACCCAGGACTGAGGCTGTAGACCCAGGACTGAGGCTGTAGACCCAGGACTGAGGCTGTAGATCCAGGACTGAGGCTGTAGACCCAGGACTGAGGCTGTCGATCCAGGACTGAGGCTGTAGACCCAGGACTGAGGCTGTAGACCCAGGACTGAGGCTGTAGACCCAGGACTGAGGCTGTAGCTCTGTGGTTCCTCAGCAGACATCATGAGCAGCAGGAGGAAGCGTGCTCTCCCGGTGAGAGTGGACGAGGAGCAGAAGAAGAGGCTCCAGTGGAACATGGTGCAGGACCGGAAGAGCGAGGGGACGATGGTGCAGGACCAGGAGACCGGATTCGTACTAGCAGACCAGACACCAGCAGCAATGGACCAGACCCAATATCCACAGACAGAGGACTTTCCAGGTAGAAACACTGTAATCATTCAGATCACAACAAACTACGAAAGAGACGAAAGATGAAAGAAAAAGTATCTGTTCTCTCTCTGGTTTCTCTCTCTGGCCTCTCTCTGGCCTCTCTCTGGTCTCTCCCTGGTCTCTCCCTGGTCTCTCCCTGGTCTCTCCCTGGTCTCTCTCTGGTCTCTCTCTGGCCTCTCTCTGGTCTCTCTCTCTCTGGTCTCTCTCTGGTCTCTCCCTGGTCTCTCCCTGGTCTCTCCCTGGTCTCTCTCTGGTCTCTCTCTGGTCTCTCTCTGGTCTCTCTCTGGTCTCTCTGCTCTCTCTGGTCTCTCTCTCTGGCCTCTCTCTCTGCTCGCTCTCTCTTTTGTCTCTCTCTCTGTGGTCTCTCTTTGCTCTATCTCTCTGGTCTCTCTCTCTGCTCTCTCTCCCTGGTCCCTCTCTGGTCTCTTTGGTCCCTCGTAATCTGGTCTCTATGGTTCCAGGTCCATCTTCAGCAGTTTGTCCCCTCACAAAGGACTCCTCTGGTCCCTCCTCTGGTCCCTCCTCTGGTCCCTCCTCTGGTCCCTCCTCTGGTCCCTCCTCAGTCCCTCTGGTGTCTGTGTTGGTCGTTCCTGTCTCTCGTCTCGGCTCTGTGTGGAAGGCTGCGATTGGAGAGTTCTCTGTCCAGACGCAGACGGCTCCTCCAGACGGGGGTGAGGCGGGGGAAGACGGGGAGAGGGGGGAGGCGGGTGAGGAGGTGTTCTGGCTGCAGAGGACAGGGACCAGCTTCAGTGTGGACCATGGAGCAGAGACACAGACAGCAGAGTGCAGTCTGAAGAACGTGACTCTGGAGGATCTGGACTGGGTCCAACAGAAGACACTGATCCAACTGGGTTACCAGAGACACACCAGCGGCTACCAGGTGGAACTACCATACTCTCTGGTCTCTCTCTGGTCTCTCTCTGGTCTCTCTCTGGTCTCTCTCTGGTCTCTCTCTCTGGTCTCTCTCTCTGGTCTCTCTCTCTTCTCTCTCTCTGGTCTTTCTCTCTGGTCTCTCTCTCTGGTCTCTCTCTCTGGTCTCTCTCTGGTCTCTCTCTGGTCTCTCTCTGGTCTCTCTCTGGTCTCTCTCTCTTGTCTCTCTCTCTGGTCTCTCTCTCTGGTCTCTCTCTGGTCTCTCTCTCTGGTCTTTCTCTGGTCTCTCTCTGGTGTCTCTCTCTGGTCTCTCTCTCGTCCCTCACGCTCTCTCATAATGTATTGATAGATTGTTGATCATGTATAATGGACAGACAGATGAGCATGTGTCCTTAAATCCGAAAGCGGTGTTGAGCGGCCCTCTGTGCTCAGGTGACTGTGTTTCTGATGGAGAGAGCTTTGGCCAAACCAGAGTTTCTGAGTCAAGCTGCAACTCGCCTGAAGAAAGGAAACCTCATCCTGCAGAAGATCATGGAGACTTTCTACGACTTTATCATACCAGGTGAGAGACCAGGTGAGAGACCAGAGAGAGACACCAGAGAGAGAGACACCAGAGAGAGAGAGAGACACCAGAGAGAGAGAGACACCAGAGAGGGAGAGACCAGAGAGAGAGACCAGATTCAGATTAATTTATTTGCCATTTGCAGTAATTCCACATATATATTTTGACTGGTATTGAAGCATTTTCAGCATCTACAGCTAGTTATGTAAGAACCATAGCTACTACTTATTTGTATATAGTGTATATATTGTGTGTGCTCCCTGTGTGCTCTTACTACTGTCCTGTCTGTGCGATGCAACAACGAAATTTCCCCACTGTGGGACAAATAAAGGAATTCTTATCTTATCTTAAATGGGGGCGTCCAGAGCTGGGTAGCCGTAAGTGTGAGACTTGTGTTGGAGAAGAGTTCCGTTACCAGAGAGAGAGACCAGGTGAGACAGAGAGACCAGACAGAGAGACCAGACAGAAAGACCAGACAGAAAGACCAGACAGAGAGACCAGACAGAGAGACCAGACAGAGAGACCAGACAGAGAGACCAGACAGAGAGACCAGACAGAGAGACCAGACAGAGAGACCAGACAGAGAGACCAGACAGAGAGACCAGACAGAGAGACCAGACAGAGAGACCAGACAGACAGAGAGACCAGACAGAGAGACCAGACAGAGAGACCAGACAGAGAGACCAGACAGAGAGACCAGACAGACAGAGAGACCAGACAGAGAGACCAGACAGAGAGACCAGACAGAGAGACCAGACAGAGAGACCAGACAGACAGAGAGACCAGACAGAGAGACCAGACAGAGAGACCAGACAGAGAGACCAGACAGAGAGACCAGACAGAGAGACCAGACAGAGAGACCAGACAGAGAGACCAGACAGAGAGACCAGACAGAGAGACCAGACAGAGAGACCAGACAGAGAGACCAGACAGACAGAGAGACCAGACAGACAGAGAGACCAGACAGACAGAGAGACCAGACAGACAGAGAGACCAGACAGAGAGACCAGACAGACAGAGAGACCAGACAGACAGAGAGACCAGACAGACAGAGAGACCAGACAGACAGAGAGACCAGACAGACAGAGAGACCAGACAGACAGAGAGAGAGACCAGACAGAGAGAGAGACCAGACAGAGAGAGAGACCAGACAGAGAGAGAGACCAGACAGAGAGAGAGACCAGACAGAGAGAGAGACCAGAGAGAGAGACCAGAGAGAGAGACCAGAGAGAGAGACCAGAGTGTGGTATTTGGTCTGGTTCCAGACTTGGTGGATCCTGAGGAGGAGCAGTGCGACACGGAGCTGGAGAGACAGAACATCGAGGAGCTGTACGACCATGTGAGACGAGTTCACCACAGACAGAAGGAGGAGAGAGACCAGGAGGAGACCGAGGAGGAGGTGCAGCATTCTGCTCTGGTCCCTGTGCTCCGGCCGTACCAGCGACAGGCCGTTCAATGGATGTTAACCAGAGAGAGAGCCACCAGCGGACCAGATAGAGGTACTACACCTGGTTACACAGCTCTAAGAGACCAGAGAGAGAGAGACCAGAGAGAGAGAGACCAGAGAGAGAGAGACCAGAGAGAGAGGGATTATGAGACTTATGAGACTGGGGGATGGAGACTTATGAGACTGGGGGATGGAGACTTATGAGACTGGGGGATGGAGACTTCTGAGGACTGGGGGATGGAGACTTCTGAGGACTGGGGGATGGAGACTTCTGAGGACTGGGGGATGGAGACGTATGAGGACTGGGGGATGGAGACTTCTGAGGACTGGGGGATGGAGACTTATGAGGACTGGTAGATGGAGACTTATGAGGACTGGTAGATGGAGACTTATGAGGACTGGGGGATGGAGACGTATGAGGACTGGGGGATGGAGACTTATGAGGACTGGTAGATGGAGACTTATGAGGACTGGGGGATGGAGACGTATGAGGACTGGGGGATGGAGACGTATGAGGACTGGGGGATGGAGACTTCTGAGGACTGGGGGATGGAGACGTATGAGGACTGGGGGTTGGAGACGTATGAGGACTGGGGGATGGAGACTTCTGAGGACTGGGGGATGGAGACTTCTGAGGACTGGGGGATGGAGACTTCACACAGTAACAGTGGAAATGTAAATATCTGTGTTTTGTGCAGAGGAAAAGATGCATCCTCTTTGGCACGAGTTGGTGACTCTGTGTGGGAAGAAGCTGTTCTACAACCCCTACATCGGCAGGTTAGACCAGAGGGGGGAGAGAGGGGGAGATGCCTCAGTATACCTCTGGTCTCACTATGGTCTCCCTCTCTGGTCTCTCTCTGGTCTCTCTCTGGTCTCTCTCTGGTCTCTCTGTGGTCTCTCTCTGGTCTCTCTTTGATCTCTCTCTCTCTGATCCCTCTATGGTCTCTCTTTGATCTCTCTCTCTCTGGTCTCTCTATGGTCTCTCTGGTCTCTGGTCTCTCTCTCTATGGTCTCTATGGTCTCTCTGGTCTCTCTCTCTGGTCTCTCTCTGGTCTCTCTCTGGTCTCTCTCTGGTCTCTCTATGGTCTCTCTATGGTCTCTCTATGGTCTCTCTATGGTCTCTCTTTGATCTCTCTCTCTCTGATCTCTCTATGGTCTCTCTTTGATCTCTCTCTCTCTGGTCTCTCTCTCTATGGTCTCTATGGTCTCTCTCTCTAGTCTCTCTCTGGTCTATGGTCTCTTTCTGGTCTCTTTCTGGTCTCTCTCTGGTCTCTCTCTGGTCTCTCTCTGGTCTATGGTCTCTCTCTGGTCGCTGGTCTCTCTCTGGTCTCTCTCTGGTCTGTATCTGGTCTCTCTCTGGTCTCTGGTCTCTCTCTGGTCTCTCTCTGGTCTCTGCTCTCTCTCTGGTCTCTCTGGTCTATAACCTCCTCTGTCTCCTCAGTCTGATCCTGGAGTTCCCCCTGGCTGCAGAGCCGGTCCCTGGGGGGATCCTGGCCGATGAAATGGGTCTGGGGAAAACTGTGGAGGTCCTGGCTCTGATCCTGTGTCACCCACGACTAAACCTGAAGACCGAGAGCTATGTCCTGCCAGAGGTGAGGGAGGGGAGGGGGGAGAGGGGAGATTTTTCTGGTCTCTCTCTAGTCCCTCTCTGGTCTTTCTCCGGTCTCTCTCTAGTGTCTCTGGTCTCTTTTTTGTCTCTTTTTGGTCTCTCTCTGGTCTCTCTCTGGTCTTTCTCCGGTCTCTTTTTGGTGTCTCTCTGGTCTCTTTCTGGTCTCTCTCTGGTCTCTCTCTGGTCTTTCTCTGGTCTCTTTTGGTCTCTCTCTGGTCTCTCTCTGGTCTCTCTCTGGTCTTTCTCTGGTCTCTTTCTGGTCTCTCTCTGGTCACTCTCTAGTGTCTCTCTGGTCTCTCGCTGGTCTCTCATTTATACCATGTGTGTTTTTCAGGGGAAGTCAGTGAACTTCTTTGTGCCTCCTCCTCCAGAGAAGAGGAACTCGCCTCCCCGCAGACCTGAGGCGTCTCAGCCTAAAACAAAGATCAACTTCCCGCGTAAGGAAACAGAACAGGCCTCACCTAAACTCTCTCCACTCATCCATATAGAACGGCCTCTCTCTGGTCTCTCTCTGGTCCCTCTCTGGTCTCTCTCTGGTCTCTCTCTGGTCTCTCTCTGATCTCTCTCTGGTCTCTCTCTGGTCTCTCTCTCTGGTCTCTCTCTGGTCTCTCTCTGGTCTCTCTCTGGTCTCTCTCTCTGGTCTCTCTCTCTGGTCTCTCTCGCTGGTCTCTCTCTGGTCTCGCTCTCTGGTCTCTTTCTGGTTTCTCTCTGGTCTCTCTCTGGTCTCTCTCTGGTCTCTCTCTGGTCTCATCCCTCTGGTGTGTCCACAGCGGTCTGGTCCATGCTCCTCTGGTGTCTGTCAGATCTGGACAAAGGTAAAGGTGTCTCGCTGCTCTCCGCTCTCGCCCACATGAGGCGTTGTTATGGTTACGACCCTGTGAAGAACCGGAGCCACATCAAACGAACCATGAAGAAGCTGCTGGAGGAGACGCTGTTGCGGCAGACCAAAGGCCGCGGCATGTCAGGCTCCTTCAAACTCACCGCAACAGGGTCCTCCAAACTCACCGCTACAGGGTCCCCCAATTTCACTGCAACAGGGTCCAAGGCCGCCTCAGTGCTGGAGAGACTCAGTCCTGGGAGGAGGGTAAGAGGATCGTATGGATGGACCGGTCTAGGTCCGGTCTGAATCCTCCTGAGTCTAACTCAGAGCTGGTGCTTAGCACTATAACAACGAAGTCAGATTATGTTCGAACACATCTGAGTCGGATGGTTTCTGTGGTCCTGGTTCTGGTGTCATGAGCTCCAGGGTCTGGTTCTGGAGTAATGAGGTCCAGGATCTCAAGGTCTGGTTCTGGTGTCATGAGCTCCAGGATCTCAGGGTTTGGTTCTGGGGTCCTGAGGCTTGCACATATGAAGCTGGACCTGCCACAGAACTATGTGGGGCCCGCTGCTACTTTGTTTTTCCGGCAGTCTGCATCATTTGGGTTTTCTGTTCCTCCTTCGGCTGAACAAGTCAAGGAGGTCCTCAGGTGGTCCTCAGGTGGTCCTCATGTGGTCCTTAGGTGGTCTTCAGGTGGTCCTCAGGTGGTCCTCAGGTGGTCTTCAGGTGGTCCTCAGGTGGTTTTCAGGTGGTCCTCAAGTGGTCTTTAGGGTGTCCTCAGGTGGTCCTCAGGTGGTCCTCAGGTGGTCTTCAGGTGGTCTTCAGGTGGTCCTCAGGTGGTCCTCAGGTGGTCTTCAGGTGGTCTTCAGGTGGTCCTCAGGTGGTCTTCAGGTGGTCTTCAGGTGGTCTTCAGTTGGTCTTCAGGTGGTCCTCAGGTGGTCCTCAGGTGGTCTTCAGGAGGTCCTCAAGTGGTCTTTAGGGAGTCTTCAGGTGGTCCTCAGGTGGTCCTCAGGTGGTCTTCAGGTGGTCTTCAGGTGGTCCTCAGGTGGTCCTCAGGTGGTCCTCAGGTGGTCTTCAGGTGGTCTTCAGGTGGTCTTCAGGTGGTCCTCAGGTGGTCTTTAGGTGGTCCTCAGGTGGTCCTCAGGTGGTCCTCAGGTGGTCTTCAGGTGGTCCTCAGGTGGTCCTCAGGTGGTCTTCAGGTGGTCTTCAGGTGGTCTTCAGGTGGTCCTCAGGTGGTCTTTAGGTGGTCCTCAGGTGGTCCTCAGGTGGTCCTCAGGTGGTCTTCAGGTGGTCTTCAGATGGTCCTCAGGTGGTTTTCAGGTGGTCCTCAGGTGGTCTTCAGGTGGTCCTCAGGTGGTTTTCAGGTGGTCCTCAGGTGGTCCTCATGTGGTCCTCAGGTGGTCCTTAGGTGGTCTTCAGGTGGTCCTCAGGTGGTCCTCAGGTGGTCTTCAGGTGGTCTTCATGTAGTCCTCAGGTGGTCTTCAGGTGGTCTTCAGGTGGTCCTCAGGTGGTCCTCAGGTGGTCCTCAGGTGGTCTTCAGGTGGTCTTCAGGTGGTCTTCAGGTGGTCTTCAGTTAGTCCTCAGGTGGTCCTCAGGTGGTCTTCAGGTGGTCCTCAGGTGGTTTTCAGGTGGTCCTCAAGTGGTCTTTAGGGGGTCCTCAGGTGGTCCTCAGGTGGTCCTCAGGTGGTCTTCAGGTGGTCCTCAGGTGGTCCTCAGGTGGTCTTCAGGTGGTCTTCAGGTGGTCTTCAGGTGGTCTTCAGGTGGTCCTCAGGTGGTCTTCAGGTGGTCTTCAGGTGGTCCTCAGGTGGTCCTCAGGTGGTCCTCAGGTGGTCTTCAGGAGGTCCTCAAGTGGTCTTTAGGGGGTTTCAGGTGGTCCTCAGGTGGTCCTCAGGTGGTCTTCAGGTGGTCTTCAGGTGGTCTTCAGGTGGTCCTCAGGTGGTCCTCAGGTGGTCCTCAGGTGGTCTTCAGGAGGTCCTCAAGTGGTCTTTAGGGGGTCTTCAGGTGGTCCTCAGGTGGTCCTCAAGTGGTCTTCAGGTGGTCTTCAGGTGGTCTTCAGGTGGTCTTCAGGTGGTCCTCAGGTGGTCTTTAGGTGGTCCTCAGGTGGTCCTCAGGTGGTCCTCAGGTGGTCTTCAGGTGGTCTTCAGATGGTCCTCAGGTGGTCTTCAGGTGGTCTTCAGGTGGTCCTCAAGTGGTCTTCAGGTGGTCCTCAGGTGGTCCTCAGGTGGTCCTCAGGTGGTCTTCAGGTGGTCTTCAGGTGGTCCTCAGGTGGTCCTCAGGTGGTCCTCAGGTGGTCCTCTGGTTGTCCACCTCAGGACAACCCCGGCCCCGTCTCTGGGTTTCTCTGGACCTCGGGCGACGGCACCGGGTCGTAAAGCTCGACATGGGAGATTCCCCTCAGGCTAAATTGGGAGGACCACAAGGCTGCGTTTTGGGCTCTTTGTTTTTTTGATAAACGATGAAGAAAAGAGTTTGGCAGAAGAATCAGATCTGTTAAAATAACTTTCTCTCTCTCAGCTTCACAAAAGTCCAGATTCTTCTCCTCGTAAATCGATCCAGAGGCGAGCGAAGGACAGAGCGGAGGCGGCTCTCCACAGTGCGCTGGCAGAGGACCAGGAAGACCACCGGGAGACCACAGGGGTACCATGTGAGCTCCAGCACCAGGAGACCAGAGTGGTACCATCTGTCCAGGAGAAACAAACATCCTCTCAAATCCATAGAGAGTTGAAAACTGAAGACGAAGACGATTCTACGGTCTCTTCTTCCACGTCCTGGAAAGATGGACACACCTCTAACCCCGGCCTGCCCACTCTGACCTCTGACCCCGCCCCTCCCCGGCAGCCCTCCCTCCTCCCGCTTAACTCCTCAGACCCCGCCCCTCCCCGGCTGCCCTCCCTCCTCCCGCTTAGCTCCTCAGACCCTGCCCCCCCCCGGCTGCCCTCCCTCCTCCCGCTTAGCTCCTCAGACCCCGCCCCTCCCCGGCTGCCCTCCCTCCTTCCGCTTAGCTCCTCAGAGTACCGGTTTGCGTGTGTGTGTGGAGAGCTGGGGCTGCTGGATTACAAAGCGCGGGTGCAGTGCCTGAGCTGCGGCCTGTGGCAGCACGCGCGGTGTGTGGACTACAGTGATGAGCGCCGCCAGACACCGTTCCACTGCCCGCACTGCCTGGTCGCCATGGCGCCCGTGCCCACCGGCGCCACGCTTATCATCTCCCCTAGCTCCATCTGCCACCAGTGGGTAGAGGAGATCAGCAAACACGTGCGCGCCTCGGAGCTGCGCGTGTTGGTAAGACTGTCATGTGACATTATTATTATTATTAACTAAAAATATATAATTTAATCATGTTTATATTAGGCTACTCTACTCTACTCTACTCTACCCTACTCTACTCTACCCTACTCTACTCTACTCTACCCTACTCTACTCTACTCTACTCTACTCTACTCTTCCCTACTCTACTCTACCCTACTCTACTCTTCCCTACTCTTCCCTACTCTTCCCTACTCTACCCTACTCTACTCTACCCTACCCTACCCTACCCTACTCTACTCTACCCTACTCTACTCTACCCTACCCTACTCTACCCTACCCTACCCTACTCTACTCTACCCTACCCTACCCTACTCTGCCCTACCCTACTCTACCCTACTCTACCCTACACCCTACTCTGCCCTACCCTACTCTACTCTACCCTACTCTGCCCTACCCTACTCTACTCTACCCTACCCTACTCTACCCTACTCTACCCTACCCTACCCTACCCTACTCTACTCTACTCTACCCTACCCTACCCTACTCTACTCTACTCTACCCTACTCTACTCTACCCTACCCTTCTCCACCCTACTCTACCCTACCCTACTCTACCCTACCCTACTCTACCCTACTCTACTCTACCCTACTCTACTCTACTCTACCCTACTCTTCTCTACTCTACCCTACCCTACTCTACCCTACTCTACTCTACCCTACCCTACTCTACCCTACCCTACTCTACTCTACCCTACCCTACCCTACTCTACCCTACTCTACCCTACTCTACCCTACTCTACTCTACCCTACTCTGCCCTACCCTACTCTACTCTACCCTACCCTACTCTACCCTACTCTACCCTACTCTACTCTACCCTACTCTACCCTACCCTACCCTACTCTACTCTACCCTACTCTACCCTACCCTTCTCCACCCTACTCTACCCTACTCTACTCTACCCTACTCTACCCTACCCTACTCTACTCTACCCTACTCTACCCTACTCTACTCTACCCTACTCTTCTCTACTCTACCCTACCCTACTCTACCCTACCCTACCCTACCCTACTCTACCCTACTCTACCCTACTCTACTCTACCCTACCCTACTCTACTCTACCCTACCCTACTCTACTCTACCCTACTCTACCCTACCCTACTCTACCCTACCCTACTTTACCCTACTCTACCCTACTCTACTCTACTCTACCCTACTCTTCCCTACTCTACTCTACCCTACCCTACCCTACTCTACCCTACTCTACTCTACCCTACTCTTCCCTACTCTACTCTACTCTACCCTACCATACTCTACCCTACCCTACTCTACCCTACTCTACTCTACCCTACCCTACTCTACTCTACCCTACCCTACTCTACCCTACTCTGCCCTACTCTGCCCTACCCTACTCTACCCTACCCTACTCTACCCTACTCTACTCTACCCTACTCTACCCTACCCTACTCTACCCTACCCTACTCTACCCTACTCTACTCTACTCTACCCTACCCTACTCTACCCTACCCTACTCTACTCTACTCTACTCTACTCTACTCTACTCTACCCTACCCTACCCTACTCTACTCTACTCTACCCTACTCTACCCTACCCTACTCTACTCTACTCTACCCTACCCTACTCTACTCTACCCTACTCTACCCTACCCTACTCTACTCTACCCTACCCTTCTCCACCCTACTCTACCCTACTGTACTCTACTCTACCCTACTCTACTCTACCCTACTCTACTCTACCCTACCCTTCTCTACTCTACCCTACCCTACCCTACTCTACTCTACTCTACTCTACCCTACCCTACCCTACTCTACTCTACTCTACCCTACCCTACCCTACCCTACTCTACTCTACTCTACCCTACTCTACTCTACTCTACTCTACCCTACTCTACTCTACCCTACCCTACTCTTCTCCACCCTACTCTACCCTACTCTACTCTAACCTACCCTGCTCCACTCCCGTATAAAGGATCTCTGGTGTGTGGCAGGTGTACCAGGGAGTGAAGCGTCACGGGTTCCTGCAGCCTCAGTCCCTGGCGCAGCACGACATCGTCATCACGACATATGACGTGCTGCGGTCAGAGCTGAACTACGTGGACCTGCCGCACAGCAGCAGCCAAGACGGCCGGCGCTTCCGCACGCAGAAGCGCTACGTACCCATGCCGAGCCCCCTGGTGGCCGTGGAGTGGTGGCGCGTGTGTCTGGACGAGGCGCAGATGGTGGAGTGCGTCACTGCGAAGGTACCAGTGCTCTATCAGGTGCTGGTGCTGGTGCTGTCAGGTGCTGGTGCAGTCAGGTGCTGGTGCTGTCAGTTGCTGGTGCTGTCAGGTGCTGGTGCTGTCAGGGGCTGGTGCTCTGGTTTGAAGTGTCCTCTCTGGTTTTGCAGGCGGCTGAGATGGCCCTGCGATTGGCCTGTGTGAACAGATGGTGCGTCAGTGGGACTCCGGTTCAGAGAGGACTGGAAGGTAAGGTCTGGTTTCTCTTTGGTCTCGCTCTGGTGTCTCTCTGGTGTCTCTCTGGTCTCTCTCTGGTCTCGCTCTGGTGTCTCTCTGGTCTCTCTCTGGTCTCGCTCTGGTGTCTCTCTGGTCTCTCTCTGGTCTCTCTCTGGTATATCTCTATGGCCTCCTCCTCACCTCCTCCTCTCTTCTCAAACCTCTATGGCCTCCTCCTCACCTCCCCCTCACCTCCTCCTCTCTCCTCGGACCTCTATGGCCTCCTCCTCACCTCCTCCTCTCTCCTCAGACCTCTATGGCCTCCTCCTCTCTCCTCAGACCTCTATGGCCTCCTCCTCACCTCCTCCTCTCTCCTCAGACCTCTATGGCCTCCTCCTCACCTCCTCCTTTCTCCTCAGACCTCTATGGCCTCCTCCTGTTCCTGCGTCTCGATCCGTTCTGGGTGAAGCGATGGTGGGACCAGCTCCTGTATCGTCCTCATCGCCGCGGCAACAGTGCTCCTCTCTACGGCGTCATCCGCCAGGTTCTGTGGAGGTCCGCCAAGAAGCACGTCCTGGACCAGGTACCATCAACGCTCACTGAGACACAGACCAGTTACCATCAAGGCTCACTGAGACACAGACCAGGTACCAGCAACGCTCACTGAGACACAGACCAGGTACCAGCAACGCTCACTGAGACACAGACCAGTTACCATCAACGCTCACTGAGACACAGACCAGGTACCATCAACACTCTTTGAGGCACAGACCAGGTACCAGCAACGCTCACTGAGACACAGACCAGTTACCAGCAACGCTCACTGAGACACAGAACAGGTACCATCAACACTCTCTGAGGCACAGACCAGGTACCAGAAACGCTCACTGAGACACAGACCAGGTACCAGCAACGCTCACTGAGGCACAGACCAGGTACCAGCAACGCTCACTGAGACACAGACGAGGTACCAGCAACGCTCACTGAGGCACAGACGAGGTACCATCAACACTCTGAGGCACAGACCAGGTACCAGCAACGCTCACTGAGGCACAGACCAGGTACCAGCAACGCTCACTGAGGCACAGACCAGGTACCAGCAACGCTCACTGAGGCACAGACCAGGTACCAGCAACGCTCACTGAGGCACAGACCAGGTACCAGCAACGCTCACTGAGACACAGACCAGGTACCATCAACGCTCACTGAGACACAGACCAGGTACCATCAACGCTCACTGAGACACAGACCAGGTACCATCAACGCTCACTGAGACACAGACCAGGTACTATCAACGCTCACTGAGACACAGACAGGTACCAGCAACGCTCAATGAGACACAGACCAGGTACCATCAACGCTCACTGAGACACAGACCAGGTACCATCAACGCTCACTGAGACACAGACAGGTACCAGCAACGCTCACTGAGACACAGACCAGGTACCATCAACACTCTCTGAGGCACAGACCAGGTACCAGCAACGCTCACTGAGACACAGACCAGGTACCATCAACGCTCACTGAGACACAGACCAGGTACCAGCAACGCTCACTGAGACACAGACCAGGTACCAGCAACGCTCACTGAGGCACCGACTAGGTACCATCAACACTCACTGAGACAGACTATGTACCAGCAACGCTCACTGAGACATACTCTCACTCTCCTCTCCCTCTCCTCCCCCCCCTCTCCCTCTCCCTCTCTCCCCCTCTCTCCCCCTCTCTCTCCCCTCTCCCCCTCCCCCCCTCTCTCTCCTCACACATTTCTATCCTCTCCTCTCTCCTCTCCCCCCTCTTCTCTCTCTCCTCTCCCCCTCTTCTCTCTCTCCCCCTCTTCTCTCTCTCCTCTCCCCCTCTTCCCTCTCTCCTCTCCCCCTCTTCTCTCTCTCCTCTCCTCACACCTCCTCTCTCCTCTCCCCCTCTCTCTCTCTCCTCTCCCCCTCTCTCTCTCCTCTCCTCACACCTCCTGTCTCCTCCCCCCCCCCTCTCTCATCCTCTCTCCCCCTCTCTTCTCACACCTCTTCTCCTCTCTCTCTCCTCTCCCCTCCCCTCTCCTCCTCTCTCCTCTCCTCAGATCCAGCTCCCCCCTCAGACAGAGGAGGTGCATTGGTTGCGTTTCTCCCCAGTGGAAGGACACTTCTATCACCGTCAGCACGAGGTCTGCTCCCATGATGCACTGCTGCGGCTGCGGAAGATCAGCGACTGGAGCCTGAGGCTGGGGGCCTTGGACCGCAGGACCGTGAGCACCATCCTGGGGCCCCTGCTGAGGCTGAGACAGGCCTGCTGCCACCCCCAGGCTGTGAGGGGCCAGTTCTTAGCACTGCAGAAGAGGTGAGCTCTAAGGTAGCTCTGAGGTACAGTGGGGCAAAAAAGTATTTAGTCAGCCACCGATTGTGCAAGTTCTCCCACTTAAAATAATGACAGAGGTCTGTAATGTTCATCATAGGTTCACTTCAACTGTGAGAGACAGAATGTGAAAACAAAAACCAGGAATTCACATTGTAGGATTTCAAAGAATTTATTTGTAAATGATGGTGGAAAATAAGTATTTGGTCAATAACAAAAATTCAAGTCAATGGAAGGAGGTTTTGGCTCAAAATCTCACGAGACATGGCCCCATTCATTCTTTCCTTAACACGGATCAGTCGTCCTGTCCCCTTAGCAGAAAAACAGCCCCAAAGCATGACGTTTCCACCCCCATGCTTCACAGTAGGTATGGTGTTCTTGGGATGCAACTCAGTATTCTTCTTCCTCCAAACACGACGAGTCGAGTTTATACCAAACAGTTCTATTTTGGTTTCATCTGACCACATGACATTCTCCCAATCCTCTGCTGTATCATCCATGTGCTCTCTGGCAAACTTCAGACGGGCCTGGACATGCACTGGCTTCAGCAGGGGGACACGTCTGGCACTGCAGGATTGGTTTCCCTGTCGTCGTAGTGTGTTACTGATGGTAACCTTTGTTACTTTGGTCCCAGCTCTTTGCAGGTCATTCACCAGGTCCCCCCGTGGGGTTCTGGGATATTTGATCACCGTTCTCATGATCATTTTGACCCCACGGGATGAGATCTTGTGTGGAGCCCCAGATCGAGGGAGATTATCAGTAGTCTTGTTTGTCTTCCATTTTCTGATAATTGCTCCCACAGTTGATTTGTTCACACCAAGCTGCTTGCCTATTGTAGATTCACTCTTCCCAGTCTGGTGCAGGTCTACAATTCTTTTCCTGGTGTCTTTGGACAGCTCTTTGGTCTTGGCCATAGTGGAGTTTGGAGTTTGACTGTTTGAGGCTGTGGACAGGTGTCTTTTATACAGATGAGTTCAAACAGGTGCCATTAACACAGGTAACAAGTGGAGGACAGAAGAGCTTCTTAAAGAAGTTACAGGTCTGTGAGAGCCACAGATCTTCCTTGTTTGAAGTGACCAAATACTTATTTTACACCATAATTTACAAATAAATTATTTAAAAATCCTACAATGTGAATTCCTGGATTTTTTTTCACATTCTGTCTCTCACAGTTGAAGTGAACCTATGATGAACATTACAGACCTCTGTCATTATTTTAAGTGGGAGAACTTGCACAGTCGGTGGCTGACTAAATACTTTTTTGCCCCACTGTAGCTCTAATCCTCATGGACTTAGGCTGGACATCCAGGACTCTCGGGTCTCTCTCTGGTCTTTCTCTGGTCTCTCTCTGGTCTCTCTCTGGTCAACTCTCTGGTCTCTCTCTGGTCAACTCTCTGGTCTCTGGTCTCGTCTCTGGTCTCTCTCTGGTCTTTCTCTGGTCTCTCTCTGGTCTCTAGTCTCTCTCTGGTCTCTCTGGTCTCTGGTCTCTCTCTGGTCTCTCTCTCTGGTCTCTCTCTCTGGTCTCTCTCTGGTCTCTCTCTGGTCTCTCTCTGGTCAACTCTCTGGTCTCTCTCTGGTCAACTCTCTGGTCTCTCTCTGGTCTCTCTCTCTGGTCTCTCTCTGGTCTCTCTCTGGTCTCTCTCTGGTCTCTTTCTGGTCTCTCTCTGGTCTCTGGTCTCCCTCCTTCAGATGTGTTCCTAACAATAGAACAAAGTCCTGGTGAAATGATCTACATACGGACCATGGGCCCCTCTCTCACAGCCTCATGTTTAATTATGGCCTGATTACGGCCCTTGTCTTCCAGGGGCCCTTGATGCTGACCTGGTGTTCTCAGGGGCCCTTGATGCTGACCTGGTGTTCTCAGGGGCCCTTGATGCTGACCCGGTCTCTCAGGGGCCCCTGATACTTGCCCGGTCTCTCAGGGGCCCTTGATACTAGCCCGGTCTCTCAGGGGCCCCTGATACTAGCCCGGTCTCTCAGAGGCCTCCAAGGAGGCTCCTTCAGTCCCTCAGGTGTTCATGAGGTCTTCATTAAGAAACATGTAAATCTTCACTGATTCTGAGTCAAAATCTGTGTAGCATCTGGACCATCAGTCCACAGTGATGGTCCACCTGGTCCACAGTGATGGTGCACCTGGTCCACATTGATGGTCCACCTGGTCCACATTGATGGTCCACCTGGTCCACAGTGATGGTCCACCTGTTCCACAGTGATGGTCCACCTGGTCCACATTGATGGTCCACCTGGTCCACATTGATGGTCCACCTGGTACGCAGTGATGGTCCACCTGGTCCGCAGTGATAGTCCACAGTGATGGTCCTCAGTGATGGTCCACCTGGTCCACATTGATGGTATCTGTTCTCAGTACCATGACGATGGAGGAGCTGCTGACGTCGCTGCAGAAGAAGTGTCGCTCTGAGTGTGAGGAGGCGCACAGACAACTGGTCTGCGCCCTCAACGGGCTCGCCGGGGTCCACATCATCAGAGGTATGGCTACTTTAGAGCTACTTTAGAGCTACCTACATTAGAGATTCATTAGAGCTACTTTAGAGCTACATTAATGTAGCTCTAATAGTAAGTAAGTAAGTTTTTATTTATATACCGCCTTTTCACTGCAGATCTGAGTCTCAAAGCGGTTTACAATTGTTAATTTTTGGGCATTTGTCTCTCACTCCACACAGAGATGGGAGCGGGGCCAGTACAGGAGGCACATGCTAGAACTATTGGACATATTTTTAGTGGTAGGGGAAACCGGAGTACCCGGAGGAAACCTACGCAGACACGGGGAGAACATGCAAACTCCACTCAGAAAGGCCCTGGTCCGACCGGGATTCGAACCCAGGACCTTCTTGCTGAGAGGCGAGAGTGCTATCCACTCAGCCACCGTGCCGCCCAACTAATGTAGCTAGAGCTACAATAGTTACTTCAGAGCTACATTAGATCTACTTTAGAGCTACATTAGAGCTGCATTAGTTACTTTAGAGCTACATTAGTTACTTTAGAGCTACTTTAGAGCTACATTAGTTACTTTAGAGCTACTTTAGAGCTACATTAGTTACTTTAGAGCTACATTAAAGCTACATTAGATCTACTTTAGAGCTACATTAGTTAGTTTAGAGCTACATTAGAGCTACATTAGTTACTTTAGAGCTACATTAGAGCTGCATTAGTTACTTTAGAGCTACATTATTTACTTTAGAACTAAATTATTTACTTTAGAGCTACATTCGTTACTTTAGAGCTACATTAGAGCTGCATTAGTTACTTTAGTGCTACATTAGAGCTGCATTAGTTACTTTAGAGCTACATTAGAGCTGCATTAGTTACTTTAGAGCTACATTAGAGCTGCATTAGTTACTTTAGAGCTACATTAGAGCTGCATTAGTTACTTTAGAGCTACATTAGAGCTACATTAGGCAAAGCAAGTTTAGTCATACAGCACAATTCATACACAAGGCAGAGGGTTTTGGACCTGAACCCAGTCCAGAGGGTTTTGGACCTGAACCCAGTCCAGAGGGTTTTGGACCTGAACCCAGTCCAGATGGTTTTGGACCTGAACCCAGTCCAGATGGTTTTGGACCTGAACCCAGTCCAGAGGGTTTTGGACCTGAACCCAGTCCAGATGGTTTTGGGGCTGGACCAACAAGTGCTAAGCATCATGGGAACTCCTTCCAGACTGTTGGAGACCATTTCAGGTCCTGTTGAAGCTCATCCAGAGAATGCCAAGAGTGAAGCAGTATCAGAGCAAAAGGAGCTACTTTGAAGAACCAGAATATAACACATATTTACACTTGGTTCATACTTTTTTACTACGGACATCATTCACATGAGTTCATCATAGGTTTGAGACCCTCAGCGTCAATCTACAGTTTTCATAATCATGGAATAAAGTCTTTGAATGAGAAGGTGTGTCCAAACTTTTGCTCTGTAGTGTACATTAGAGCTTACTTAGAGCTGTGTTCCAGGGGAGGTGGTGGAGGCCGCAGAGCGCTACAGAGACGTGCTGCGCTCGTCTGAAGAACACAAAGGAAAACTGAAGACGGACTCTCTACAGGTGACACCATCACTGTCTCTCTCTGGTGTCTCTTTGGTCTCTCTCTGGTCTCTCTCTTTGGTCTCTCTCTGGTGTCTCTCTCTGGTGTCTCTCTTTGGTCTCTCTTTGGTCTCTCTCTGGTGTCTCTCTCTGGTGTCTCTCTTTGGTCTCTCTCTGGTCTCTGCTCTCTCTCTGGTCTCTCTCTGGTCTCACTCTGGTCTCACTCTGGTTTCTCTCTGGTGTCTCTCTTTGGTCTCTCTCTGGTCTCTCTCTTTGGTCTCTCTCTGGTGTCTCTCTCTGGTGTCTCTCTTTGGTCTCTCTTTGGTCTCTCTCTGGTGTCTCTCTCTGGTGTCTCTCTTTGGTCTCTCTCTGGTCTCTGCTCTCTCTCTGGTCTCTCTCTGGTCTCACTCTGGTCTCACTCTGGTTTCTCTCTGGTGTCTCTCTTTGGTCTCTCTCTGGTCTCTCTCTAGTCTCTGAGGATGATGATGATGATGATGATGATGATGATTGAACCAGAGACTTCATGCCACTCACAACCTGATGGAGCTGCTGAACGCAAAGCATCCTGGGATTCCTCCAACGCTGAGAGATGACAGACTCAGTGAAGAGGTGAGTCCCCGGGTCTCTCTCTGGTCTCTCTCTCTGGTCTCTCTCTCTGGTCTCTCTCTTGTCCCTCTCTGGTCTCTCTCTGGTCTCTCTCTGGTCTCTCTCTGGTCTCTCTCTGGTCTCACTCTGGTCTCTCTCTTGTCCCTCTCTGGTCTCTCTCTGGTCTCTCTCTGGTCTCTCTCTGGTCTCTCTCTGGTCTCTCTCTTGTCCCTCTCTTGTCCCTCTCTGGTCTCTCTCTGGTCTCTCTCTGGTCTCTCTCTGGTCTCTCTCTGGTCTCTCTCTGGTCTCTCTCTGGTCTCTCTCTGGTCTCCCTCTGGTCTCTCTCAGTCTAAACAACACGGCCTCCTTTCCCTGCAGGCGGAGCAGCTGAGGCAGCACTACATGACCAAGTACAACTCTGAGGTGTCAGACGCATACAGCGCTCTGCAACCTGTTCTACAGGCCATCAGGGAGCTGAAGAGGAAGGTGAGGGTGGGGGAGAGAGGGGGGAGAGAGGGAGCTGAAGAGGAAGGTGGGGGGGGAGAGGGGAGCTGAAGAGGAAGGTGAGGGTGGGGAGAGAGAGGGGGGAGGGAGGGAGCTGAAGAGGAAGGTGAGAGGGTGGGGGGAGAGAGGGAGCTGAAGAGGAAGGTGAGGGTGGGGGAGAGAGGGAGCTGAAGAGGAAGGTGAGGGTGGGGGAGAGAGGGAGCTGAAGAGGAAGGTGAGGGTGGGGGAGAGAGGGCTGAGCTGAAGAGGGAAGGTGAGGGGGTGGGGGAGAGAGGGAGGAGAGAAGAGGAAGGTGAGGGTGGGGGAGAGAGGGAGCTGAAGAGGAAGGTGAGGGTGGGGGAGAGAGGGGGGAGAGAGAGAGCTGAAGAGGAAGGTGAGGGAGGGTGGGGGAGGAGGAGGTAGGTGCAGGTGACACTGATGAGGGGTGCATTTATCTCCTGTGTGTGTATGTAGGTGAAGTTGAGCGCCCCCTGGTGGCTGGATGTCATACAGCTGGCAGTGCGCACCAGCAGTGACGAGGACCTGGTGATGAGGGTGAAGAACGAGCTCACCAGCAACTACAAGCAGAGTACCAGCAAGATCTCTATGGCTGACAAGTGAGAGAGACCAGAGAGCGAGAGACCAGAGAGCGAGAGACCAGAGAGCGAGAGACCAGAGAGCGAGAGACCAGAGAGCGAGAGACCAGAGAGCGAGAGACCAGAGAGCGAGAGACCAGAGAGCGAGAGACCAGAGAGCGAGAGACCAGAGAGCGAGAGACCAGAGAGCGAGAGACCAGAGAGCGAGAGACCAGAGAGCGAGAGACCAGAGAGCGAGAGACCAGAGAGCGAGAGACCAGAGAGCGAGAGACCAGAGAGCGAGAGACCAGAGAAAAGAGAGGGACCAGAGAAACAGACCTGAGAGAGGGAACTGCTTTAGTGTGACTGTGTTGGGGTGAGACAGGGTTCTGACCAGTGTGGGCGGGTCCCGGCTCAAAAGTGTCCAAAATGACATGCGCTAACATAATGCAGTACCACCCCGGGCCTTTGGGGGTGGACCCAGAATAAGAATTAGCCAATGCTAACATATAGCATCTTCTTACCTCTGGAAAACGTCTTTACAGGATGGTCCAAAAGTTGGCTCTTGGCCCAAAGCTCCGTTCCACATGTGTGTCAATGCTGAGTGTTCTGGACCAGTCTAGTTTAGTCGCTGTGGACTTTAGAAGTCTCTCGTTCAAATGAATGGAGCTGCCCCGGCTGACGCATGCACAGATGTGTTTTTTCACAATTTTCTTGTGGGCGGGACCACTCGCTGCCATTTTGGATTGCTCCAGTAGAGCACAATGTTTGGCCCATTAGTTAGAACGGCGGAGATAGGCGTGACTCTGTCCGTTAATATATACAGTCTATGGTTGAGACGGGTGAGACAGGGTTGAGACAGGGTTGAGACAGGGTTGAGACAGGGTTGAGACAGGGTTGAGACAGGGTTGAGACAGGGTTGAGACAGGGTTGAGACAGGGTTGAGACAGGGTTGAGACAGAGGTGAGACAGAGGTGAGACAGGGTTGAGACAGAGGTGAGACAGGGTTGAGAGAGGGTTGAGAGAGGGTTGAGACAGAGGTGAGACAGAGGTGAGACAGAGGTGAGACAGGGTTGAGACAGGGTTGAGACAGAGGTGAGACAGAGGTGAGACAGGGGTGAGACAGAGGTGAGACAGGGGTGAGACAGAGGTGAGACAGAGGTGAGACAGGGGTGAGACAGGGTTGAGACAGGGGTGAGACAGAGGTGAGACAGGGTTGAGACAGGGTTGAGACAGAGGTGAGACAGGGTTGAGACAGGGTTGAGACAGAGGTGAGACAGAGGTGAGACAGAGGTGAGACAGGGTTGAGACAGGGGTGATGTTCAAAGGCCTGTTATTTTGCCGTAGGTTCCGTGACGCTGTCGGGCTGCAGTACGTCCTCAGCACCAAACTGGACGAGTTGTTAAAGTCTCAGAAGACGGTTCAGGACGCGGTAAAGCGTCTGGAGGGTCCGGCCTCACAGGAAGTCATCGACGAGGCCACAATCTGCCACCTGAGGCCAAACCGACTGCCTCTCAACAAGTAAGACACACAAGAGCAGAGGACCGAGGACCGAGCCCTGGGGAACCCCTGTGGTGTTAGAGATAGGGCCATGATGGCTTTGAATGTCACTGAGAAGCATATTACTGAACCCTGTCTATGGTCTCTCTCTCTCTGCTGTCTCTCTGCTGTGTCTCTGGTCTCTGTCTCTCTGCTCTGTCTCTGGTCTCTCTCTCTCTGCTCTGTCTATGGTCTCTCTCTCTGCTGTCTCTCTGCTCTGTCTCTGGTCTCTGTCTCTCTGCTCTGTCTCTGGTCTCTCTCTCTCTCTGCTCTGTCTATGGTCTCTCTCTCTGCTGTCTCTCTGCTCTGTCTCTGGTCTCTCTCTCTTTGCTCTGTCTCTGGTCTCTCTCTCTAGACCTCCTACAACTTATATTTTGTTTTGTCCTTTCTAGTTGTGTTTTTTGCAAAGCAGACGAACTCTTCAACGATTATGAATCCAAACTGTTTTCTCACACGTAAGTTCTGCTCTCTCTCCAGTTTCTTTTCCCAGTCTCTCTCTTTAGTCTCTCTTTCTGCTCTATCTCTCTAGTCTCTCTTTTTGATCTCAAACCCTCATGATCTCGTCTTCAGGGTGAAGGGCCAAGCTGCGATCTTTGAGGAGATGATCGAGGAGGAGGAGGGTTGTGTAGACGAGAGACTGCCGACCACGAGCCGCGGTCTGTGGGCGTCCAGTGAGACGGAGCGCGCTCTGAAGGCTCTCCTTGCCTTCGCCAAAGCCAAACGTCTGGAGCCTGCACTGGTGGAGGAGGGAAGCTGCTTCATGGAGCTGTTCGAGGCCTGGAAGAAGGAGTACAAGGTCTTACCAGGAAGCCTCATACCATGGTCCATATACCTGACCGTCTGATCAAAAGTCTCCATCCCCCTACCCTCTTAAGTCTCCATCCCCCAGTGCTCATGGAGGACTGGGGGATGGAGACTTAAGGTGATTAACATCTATGACAGCTTGAAGTCTATATCTGGTTGAGGTTCCCTCTCTCTGGTCTCTCTCTCTTATCTCTCTCTGGTCTCTCTCTGGTCTCTGTTCTCTCTCTGGTCTCACTCTGGTCTCTGTGGTCTCTCTCTGATCTCTCTCTCTGGTCTCTCTCTCTTGTCTCTCTCTGGTCTCTGTTCTCTCTCTGGTCTCACTCTGGTCTCTATCTACTGTAGGTTCTGCATGAGTACTGGGGTGTCCTGAGGAACCACGTCTCGGCCATAGATGAGCTGGGCATGGCCACCGAGAGGTTGAGGGTTCGACTCCCAGACGAACCCAAACCAAAGCTGCTGCACATCATCGAGCCGCATGAGGTCAGTGACAAAAGACTTCTCTTTCTCTCTCTCTGGTCTTTCTCTGGTCTCTCTCTGGTCTCTCTCTAGTCTCTCTCTCTAGTGTATCTCTGGTCTCTCTTTCTGGTGTCTCTCTGGTCTCTCTTTCTGGTGTCTCTCTGGTCTCTCTGGTTTCTCTCTCTGGTCTGTCTCTGGTCTCTCTGGTTTCTCTCTCTGGTCTGTCTCTGGTCTCTCTGGTTTCTCTCTCTGGTCTCTAAGTTCTGGTCTGGTTTCAGGTGGAGCAGAATCGTGTGAAGCTGTTGAATGATCAGGCTGTGGCTAAATCTCAGCTCCAGAAGAAACTGGGACAACAGCTGTATCTGAGCAACCTGGAGAAGGTGAGGAGGAGGTGAGGGCCTGGAGAAGGTGAGGAGGAGGTGAGGGCCTGGAGGAGGAGGAGGTGAGGAGGAGGTGAGGGCCTGGAGGAGGAGGAGGTGAGGTGAGGAGGAGGTGAGGGCCTGGAGGAGGAGGAGGTGAGGAGGAGGTGCGGGCCTGGAGAAGGTGAGGAGGAGGTGAGGGCCTGGAGAAGGTGAGGAGGAGGTGAGGGCCTGGAGGAGGAGGAGGAGGTGAGGTGAGGAGGAGGTGAGGGCCTGGAGGAGGAGGAGGTGAGGGCCTCTAGGAGGAGGAGGAGGTGAGGTGAGGAGGAGGTGAGGGCCTGGAGGAGGAGGAGGTGAGGAGGAGGTGAGGGCCTGGAGGAGGAGGAGGTGAGGAGGAGGTGCGGGCCTGGAGAAGGTGAGGAGGAGGTGAGGGCCTGGAGGAGGAGGAGGAGGTGAGGAGGAGGTGAGGGCCTGGTTCTGACGACAGAAGTATAAAGTGGAGCCTTTAGAACTTTCTGAAACACAGCCTTCTTGAAAAGTCTCTCTCTGGTCTCTCTCTCTGGTCTCTCTCTCTGGTCTGTCTCTCTGGTCTGTCTCTCTGGTCTCTCTCTCTGGTCTCTCTCTCTGGTCTCTCTCTCTGGTCTCTCTCTCTCTGGTCTGTCTCTCTGGTCTGTCTCTCTGGTCTGTCTCTCTGGTGTCTCTCTCTGGTCTCTCTCTCTGGTGTCTCTCTCTGGTCTCTCTCTCTCTGGTCTTTCTCTGATCTCTGGTCTCTCTCTCTGGTCTCTCTCTCTGGTCTCTGTCTTGTCTCTGTCTTGTCTCTCTCTGGTCTCTCTGGTCTCTCTGGTCTTTCTCTCTGGTCTCTCTCTCTGGTCCCTCTGTCTGGTCTCTCTCTGTCTGGTCTTTCTGTCTGGTCTCTCTTTGGTCTCTCTCTGGTGTCTCTCTCTGGTGTCTCTCTCTGGTGTCTCTCTCTGGTCTCTCTCTCTGGTCTCTGTCTGGTCTCTGTCTTTTCTCTGTCTTGTCTCTCTCTGGTCTCTCTCTCTGGTCTCTCTTTGGTCTCTCTGGTCTTTCTCTGGTCTCTCTGGTCTCTCTCTGGTCTTTCTCTGGTCTCTCTCTGGTCTCTCTCTGGTCTTTCTCTGATCTCTCTGTCTGGTCTCTCTGTCTGGTCTCTCTCTGGTCTATAACAGATATCTTCTCTTGTGTCAGTCTCAGGACAAGACAACAGGAGGACTGAACCCGGAGCCATGTCCCATCTGTGCTCGCCCACTGGGTCAGGAGGTGAGCTGGTCTCAAAGCTGGTCTCAAAGCTGGTCTTTGAGCTGGTCTCTCCTGGTGTCATGTCTCTGGTCTCTCCTGGTGTCACCTGGTGTCATGTCTCTGGTCTCACCTGGTGTCATGTCTCTGGTCTCACCTGGTGTCATGTCTCTGGTCTCTCCTGGTGTCATGTCTCTGGTCTCTCCGGGTGTCATGTATCTGGTCTCTCTTGGTGTCATGTCTCTGGTCTCTCCTGGTGTCACCTGGTGTCATGTCTCTGGTCTCACCTGGTGTCATGTCTCTGGTCTCTCCTGGTGTCATGTATCTGGTCTCTCCAGGTGTCACCTGGTGTCATGTCTCTGGTCTCACCTGGTGTCATGTCTCTGGTCTCTCCTGGTGTCATGTATCTGGTCTCTCTTGGTGTCATGTCTCTGGTCTCACCTGGTGTCATGTCTCTGGTCTCACCTGGTGTCATGTCTCTGGTCTCTCCTGGTGTCATGTATCGGGTCTCTCCTGGTTACACCTGGTGTCATGTCTCTGGTGTCACCTGGTGTCATGTCTCTGGTCTCACCTGGTCTCACCTGGTATCATGTCTCTGGTCTCTCCTGGTGTCACCTGGTGTCATGTCTCTGGTGTCACCTAGTGTCATGTCTCTGGTCTCACCTGGTCTCACCTGGTGTCATGTATCTGGTCTCTCCTGGAAACAGCAGCAAGTCCTAGCAGCTCTGAAGATACTGTACTCTACCACTGTTATTTTTATTATTTTTTTCATTTTTCTTAATTTTTCTAGCTGTAGATTATTTGTAATCCAGTACAGTGTTTATGGTTTTACACTGATCGGAGCAAAGAGGACGCGCGGTCCGAAACAAGCAGATCAAGTGTAAGTCAACTGGAGAGAAGCGAATATTTTCAAAAAATGCACTGGCAGGATTTTACAAAGTACTCACGAGATGAGCTCCTTTGGCTACGACGAAGCCCACCCTTCAGAAGATGTCGAGCTGGAGCTAAGAAGAAGGCAAGGAGCTACCGGTACAAGCCATTCGTACCATCAATAATAATGGGGAACTTCAACTCACTTCAAAATAAGTGTGAGGAACTTGAGGCTTTGGTGAAGTGTGATGCATCTTACCAGGACTGTAGCCTTTATCTCTGATCTGAGTCGTGGCTACGTTTTTACACTGCTCAGGGACTCAGGGACTACAGGTGTAAATTAGCACTGCTGCTACAACCTGGTACAAAGCATCTCTCCTTTTGGCTAATGTTTACTGTACACTGTCCCTGTAAAAATAAAAACCATACCATACCATACCATACGTGACAACATACCAGATTGTCAGCATCACCGGCTTCTCTATCGTTCATGAGAAGCCATTGTTGCTCCAATGAAAAATAAGCCCTAGACGTAAATCTGAGCCTTGGCTGAATGAAGTGACGCGCGCCGCCCGACGTGAGAACAGAAAAGCAGAGAGGCAGTGGATGAAAGACAGACTTCAAGTATCTTTTCAGATAATGCAAACTAGTTGGAGCTCTTACCAAAACACTGTTAGAGCAGCTAAAACAAGTCATTTTTCTGATATTATTGTTTCTAATGCTCACAATCCAAGAGTTCTTTTTGAAACTGTTAAAAAAGCTCTTGATTCCCCACAACAGCCCTGTCCTGAAAACGCTCCAAAATTGTGTGATAATTTTTTAAGTTTTTTCCTTGACAAGGTTGCCAGCACTAGGGCTTCGATCTCCCGTCCTAATTACTCCTACAACTTGCTCTGTTGTTTTTGACCAATTTGAACCAGTTGCTTTGCCTTTACTAGTAAAAGTAATGGATCAAATTAAACTTACAGGCTCTCCTAATGATGTGATCCCCCCTCGTCTTTTTAAAGAACTGTTTCCTCTATTGGAACCTCATGTTCTGTCCATTCTTAATGGAAGTCTGGCCAGTGGAGTTGTTCCCTCTTCCTTTAAACATGCGATAGTGCAGCCCTTGCTAAAGAAGTCAAACTTAGATATTCATGAGCTAAGCAACTATCGACCTATTTCTAAGCTTCCTCTGATGTCAAAATCGTGTCTGCAACTCACAGCTTTTTTAAACAGTAATGGTATTTTGGAGAGCTTTCAGTCAGGTTTTTAACTGTGAAACAGAAGAGCTGTTGTCGGGATATTGAACTGCTCGTGGTCAGCATTCGGCCCTACTATCTGACACGGGAGTTCTCTCACATCGTGGCCCTTATTGTTTACATTCTTCCTCGCGCTGAGCCGGAAACTGCGTGTGAAGTCATTCAGGAGGCAGTCGCTAAAATTCAGTCACAGCATGCTGGAGCATTGATGATAGTATCAGGGGACTTTAACCATGTTGATGTGAGCTCACACGTGGGTGGCTTTACACAGTATGTAGATTGTCCTACAAGACACAACAGCATATTAGATCTTTGCTTTGTGAATGTGAAGAATGCCTATAGTGTAGTGACACTGCCCCCCCTGGGCAAGTCTGATCACAATATGATTTCTCTAAAGCCCATATATAGGCCAAATGTGATGAGAATGCCCTTAGTCCGTAGATCATTCAGGCAATGGACAACAGAGGCCAGTCATGCTCTGAGGGACTGCTTTGAGAAGACCGACTGAATATACTTCTGTGCTCAGGGGAGGACATTAACAAGGCTGTGGACAGTGTCACAGACTACATCTACTTCTGTACCGATGTAGCAGTGCCAAAGAAAACAGTCCGCTGTTTTCCAAATAACAAACCTTGGATCACAAGTGACAACAAACACACTTTGAACCTAAAGAAACAGGCCTTTAAGGCAGGTGACAGGGACCAGGTGACGGGGACCAGGTGACGGGGACCAGGTGACAGGGACCAGGTGAGAACTGTCCAACACGACCTGAAGAGGACATTGAGACAGGCAAGGAGGGAGTACAAGAATGGTCTGGAGGAGAAACTGCAGAATAACAACACCCGTGAAGTGTGGAAGGGCATGAGGCCATTACTGGATACAAAGTGAAGGGCTGTGAGGCGGCCGGGAACGCTGATGAGTTTAACCACTTTTACAACAGTTCGACTCTTCCCCTGTCCACGCTGATTCTGCTGTGACCTGTCCTGCTCCTCTCGGCGGCTACACCACCTCTGCTGTGACCTGTCCTGCTCCCCCCAGTCCTGGCTGCTACACCACCTCTGCTGCTGCGTCCTTCTTCACCGTGGATGTCCAGGTGGAGCTAAAGGAGCTCCAGGGGAGGAAGTCTGCTGGGCCTGATGGGATAATGCCAAGGCTCCTGAAGGAATGTGCAGCGGAGTTAGCTGAGCCTCTCCATTCCATCTTTAACAAGAGTCTTCAGACTGGATGTGTCCCTGTCCGTTGGAAAACCTCCTGCCTGGTACCCGTCCCCAAGGTAGAAAGGCCGACAGGATGCAAGGACTACAGACCAGTGGCACTAACATCTGTCATAATGAAGACTTTTGAGAGGCTAGTTCTCCGACTGCTCATGCCACAGGTGGAGCAGGCTCTTGACCCCCTGCAGTTTGCCTATCAGGAGAACATGGGAGTGGATGACGCGGTTCTCTACATGCTCCATCGATCCATGTCCTGATGTTTTTTGACTTCTCCAGTGCATTTAACACCATCCAACCTCTCTTACTGAGGGAGAAACTGGAGAAGATTGGAGTTGATCCCATCTTTACCAACTGGATTTACAACTACCTCCCTGTGAGGCCACAGTATGTCAGGTTAGGGAAGAGCGTGTCTGGGACTGTTGTGAGCACTACAGGAGCACCACAGGGTACTGTTCTGGCTCCCTTCCTCTTCACTGTTTACACTGCAGACTTTGCACACAACTCTGCTACATGCCATGTACAAAAATACTCGGACAATACCGCTGTTGTGGCATGTATGAAGGGGGGGTGAAGCAGAGTACAGGGAGGTGGGGGCTGCCTTCTCAGACTGAAGTGAGAGAAATGGACTGATCCTCAAAGCGTCCAAGACCAAGGAGATGATAATCAACTTTCACAGGAGGCCTTCCCATCGACCGGTCACAGTAAATGGAAAGGACATTGAAGTGGTTCAATCCTATAAATATCTGGGAGTCCGCCTGGACCACAGACTGGACTGGGAGTCCGCCTGGACCACAGACTGGACTGGTCAGCTCAGGCCAATGCCATCTACAAAAAAGCTCAGAGCAGACTTTTCTTTCTGAGTAGACTGAGGTCCTTTGATGTGAGCAGTCTGTGGTAGCTAGTGCCGTGTTCTTCGGGGTTGCGTGTTGGGGGCAGTCTGACCTCAAGAGACTAACCGGATTGACAGGCTGATCAAGAAGTGTGTCTCTGTGATGGGGAGAAGTGTGGACTCTGTGGGAGCTGTGCTGGAGAGAAGGATGAGGGCTCTAATGCAGTGCATCCTGGGTAACTCCAGACACCCTCTGCATGACACTATGGCCGCTCAGGAGTAACCGCAGCAACAGGCTCCTATCACTACGCTGCCGAACTTTCAAAAGATCCTTTGCCTTTGTTCCTTCGGCTGTCAGACTGTACAACAAACCTGACTGACTGTCAAACCTGACTAACAACAAGAAAAGAGTCTTCTGCTGCTGGACACCTGAATTTCTCCTATGGGGGATCAATAAAGTATTTATCTATGCATCTCCTTTCTCTCCTGGTCTCTCCTGGTCTCTCTTGGTCTCTCTTGGTCTCTCTTGGTCTCTCTTGGTCTCTCTTGGTCTCTCTTGGTCTCTCTTGGTCTCTCTTGGTCTCTCCTGGTACAATACACAATACAATTTATTCTTGTATAGCCCTAGGTCACAACAGAAGTCATCTCAGAGACTTAACAAAACCATTGAAATCACCAACACAGGTCAGAGAATCAACAGTTAAAACACATGAAGAATATAAAGCACAGACAGAAGAAAATGTCCATACATGTTGTAGAATGCTAAAGTGTCCTGATCATCACCAATCCTTTCTGTTGGACACTAACTCTCCAACAAGACCCTCTTGCATCAACAAGGAAAAACTCTTAAAAAACCCAGTGGGAAAAAGTGAGAAACCTTGGGGAGAACTAGGGAAACCCACAGGGAGGGAGACCCATTTGAGAAAGGGATCCGCTCCTCCGGACGGACAGGCTAATGATCCAGAACCTAAGCTAGCTACAGAACGTGGACCAGTGGCCGCTGAACGTGGACAGGTCCGGTGCAGGACTGAAGCACTCCCAGGCGGGTCGGGCGGGGCAGTCCGCAGGTGTAGATGGAGGAGGCCAGGCTCAGAGATCCCGTCATCGTACCATGAAACAGACAATGGGACAACGGGTGAATAGCAATGAACAAACTACAGTCAGAATCCTAAAAGTGCTAAACAGATAAAGTAGGAAGGAGGAGAGGATAGTGCTCAAGTTACCATACTTCTCCCAGCAAACTGACTCCCTATGCAGCTTGACTAACACTCTGAGGAGTTTAACCTTCTCCGAGTCTTACCTTCCTAGCCATATGCTAAACTAAAGAGGACTTTTTTAAACCTAGCCTTGAATAAAGAGATTCATGGATTGCACACCAGGTGTGCAAACCGATCCAGGCAAACCTAATTATATATTATATATCATATACATCATATATAACATACATACCATATATATCATATATAATACACAACATAACATACAGCATAATATATAACATGATATACAACATAACACAATACATTATTGTATAATATATAACATAATATATAACATAATACAGCATATATATAATATATACACCATATATTATATATTACCTAATTATATGCTAAATTAAAGTAGAGTGCTTTAAGCCTGGCCTTGAATGTGGAGACCGTATCTGCTTCCTTAACATAAATGAAGCTGATTCCACAGTAAAGGAGCTTGGAGCTAAATGCTCTGCCACCAACAGTGACCTTTGAGACCTTAGGGACCACCAGACGTCTGGCGTTTTGTGAGCGCAACGCTCGACCTGGTTGATACGACACTAACGTGTCTTGGAGATAAGAGGGAGCCAAGCCATTTATGGCTTTATATGTTAAGAGAAGGATTTTAAACTTTATTCTGTACTCCACAGGAGCCAGTGGAGTGATTTTAACACCGGAGTTAAGTGCTCCCTCCTTTTGGTACCTGTTAAGATCCTAGCTGCTGTATTCTGAACGAGCTGGAAGCTCTTCAAAGACGCTTTAGGGCATGCTGCCAGTAAAGCGTTACAGTAGTCGAGCCTTGAGGTGACAAACGCGTGAATAAGTTTTTCCGCGTCACTTTTAGGAAGGAAATTCCTAATTTTAGCGATGTTCCGTAAGTGGAAGTACGCCGTTTTAGTTGCTTGGCTTATAGAATCAGAATCATTCAAAATCAGAATCAGAATCATTTTTATTGCCACGTAAGTAACAGGAGGTCACAGACTAGGAAATTGCTTTGGCTCAGTGCAACAGTCAAAAAGAGATAATAAAAATAAGAATAAAAAACACTTCTAAAGAATAAATTTAAATTTAAAATAGAGTTACAGTTACTATTTACAATATACAAGTGCACATGGTGCACACAATGTAAGGTGACAGCAGTACAGTGAAGTAAAGTGACGTATGATGGGCAGTAAAGTGACTTTATAAAGGGCGGGGACAGGTTAAGAAGTGTTCAAGAGTCCAACAGCAGAGGGGAAGAAACTGTTCTTGTGGCGGGAGGTTCTAGTCCTGATGGACCGCAGCCTCCTGTCTGAGGGGAGTGGTTGGAATAGTCCATGT